TCTGCAATATCGAACTTACCAAAAATGACGTCCTCCTCTTTAAGGTTATCAACAGAGACGTTATTATCGCGCAACCAGGACAAGACATGTTTCCAAAAACTAGATGATACTCTACAGGAAAAGAGTAAATGCTCTACGGATTCAACCTCTGTTTGGCAGAAAGCACAGGATGGCGACTCAACCAAGCCGAAACGAAACAGTTTTTCGTTTGTAAAGACAATACGGTTTAAAATTTTAAACTGAAATTCTCTAAGTTTAGATTCTAATGTTGTGCGAAAAGGTAGCGAATAAACACTTTTCCAATCAATATCAATGTTTGAATACTTTGCAGCTAACTTTACTTTAGCAGTAGGCGTTGTTTGTTTTTTCTCCAGGAAAAGCCGGTAGATTTGCTTTGAGGAAGCATCAAGAATTGGAACCAAATTGTTACTTATTAGGATAGCAGGTGAATCCGGAAGTGGATCAATCACCGGTGCAGTAGTTGCCCTTTTAATTGTCAAGCGCCAACTGGCAGGCATAGAGTTAATAATACCCATAATGAAGAAACCTTGCTCTGGATTGAGATTTTCTTTAGTCGAAAATAAATCGCAAATTTTTAAAAACCCTAAATCTGCAAGATCTCTACGATACACAGATTTCTTATTAATGCAGAGAAGCTTGTTATTCCAAATAAACTTCATTTGCAATTTCATGTAGCAAGCTGGGTGTTTTTGCATTTACTTCTGACCACGCATCGAGACATTGCTTGTAGAAACTTGGTAAATAAATTCTTAATTTAGAAGTATCAAAATTACAATGCAATATGCGCTTCCCACCAACGGGGATAAGAACCTCATTTAAAAAAGCTTTCCACGGACTTTTATAGTCTTCCAAATATTTTTTCATACATATCACTCGTCTGGTACGAACCATAGAATCAATATCGAGCATATTTAAGCCACCCTTCTCAACTTCCGAAATCATTACATTTCGTTTTACTTTATCTATCCCATTCCAAATAAAATAGTAAAAAAGCGAGTCGGCCTCTTTGATAAGGTCTTTAGAAATTGGCAACACCGACGCTCTAAACATAAACTTAGGGATGGCAAAGGTTTTTACAATTTGTATTCTACCTAAGAGAGAAAGACCACGCCATTTCCACAAATTGATCGTCTTCTTAAGTGATTTCAAAGTATTCCTAAAATTCAATTCATCTCTTTGTTTAGCGTCATAGCCAAAGTAGACGCCTAGAATTTTAATAGTGTTACAAAGATTGGCATATCAGAATACCCCTCCCAAAGAGAACTACTATTTCCTAAAGCTAAGGCTTCGGTTTTTTCATTATTTATTTTTAAACCAGAACATTCACCAAAAGTCTTCAGCGTAACGAATAGGTTTGTATATGAACTACTATCTTTGATAAAGCAGGTCATGTCATCAGCGAAAAGGGAAAGTTTAACAGGTTCATCTCGTATCGTAATGCCCTTACTGCCATCATCTTCTCTTATCTTTATAGGTAAGGTCTCCAAAGCTATTATGAACAGGTAGGGAGAGAGGGGATCTCCCTGCCTTCCTCCCCTACTTAGTGCAAAAGGTCCTGTTGTAAAACCATTGTTCATTACACAGCTAGAGGCGTTGTTATATAAGACCCGTATCCACTGAATAAAAGAAGGACCAAAGTTAAATGCATGTAATACTCTTAAAAGAAAATTTAAATTGAGCGAGTCGAAAGCTTTTTCAAAGTCTATAGCTACTAGAATCCCAGGTATATCTTTGTACCTAGCATGTTCAATCACATCATCGATCGTTCTGACGGCATCAAAAATTGTTCTCCCCTTTACAAACGCGTTTTGATTAAAATGAATTACTTCAGGAAGCACCTTTTCCAAACGCTTTGCCAAAGTTTTAGACGCCAATTTAGCATCAACATTTACAAGAGATATTGGACGCCAATTCTTCACCAACCTTTTGTCTTTTCCTTTCTTTTCAATTAAGGTGATAACGGCTTGTTTCTGTGAGTTCGATAGTTCACCGTATTCGAAAGCATAGTTCAAACTATCAACTACCAACTTTCCAAGCAAGGGCCAAAAGGCTAAGTAAAACTCGGCTGTTAACCCGTCGTTCCCTGGCGATTTATTCTTTTGGAAGGTCTGTAATACATTATAGCATTCATCATATCTAAGGATAGATACCCTCGCAAACGTTCCTCTTCTCCTCGGCTAAAAATGGAACATCGGTGAGATCATTTATAAACGAAGAAATTGTCTGCGCGTCTGCGGAATTTCTACCATCATAGAGATTAGAATAATATGATTCCAATTCATTCATAATCTTTTTTGGGTCGCTAGTTAATTCTCCAACAGTTGTTAAGATTTTGCGGACACTGCTTTTAGTTTTGTTTGAATTTTCTAAATTCAAAAAATATTTGTTGTTTTTTTCACCAATTTCATACCAGGTTGCCCTAGAGCGAATGATTGCCCCTTGTGTAATGTAATCGTACAATTGATCATATTCTGTTTGAAGGCAATCCAGTTCCTCGAGATTTCCACTATTTGGATCAATATCACATTTTTCTGTACATTCCTTCAGCTTATCTTCCACCTTTGGTAGTTTTGTTCTTCTTTCACGGGCTTTATCTTTACTGTATGTAATTGTTTGCTGTCTTATTTTGTATTTAATTAAATCCCATAAAACACGCTTATCCTGAACCTCTTTAAATTCCTCTAACCAATTCACATATTCAGTGGTTAAAAGTTCACAGTAGTCCGAGTCATTTACTAAGTTCGAATTGAATTTCCAGAAATTCGGTCCTCTCTCAGTTTCATCTAAGCCGCAAATTGAAAGGGTTATTGCCGAATGGTCAGTTTTTATTGATGTTTTAATCTCCGCTGAAATTATCTCATCTTGCAAACTGTCGCTTATAAGCCAAAAATCTAAACGCCTCTGCACAACCGGAGTTTTTTGACGCCAAGTAAATCGTGATGTAGTGGGGTTCCTAATACGCCAGATATCAACCAGATCGAAATCGAGGTGCATATCTTCAACTAATATTGCGGAGTCTTTCTTTCCGTTGTTTCCGCCCCGTCCATCTAAGTCATGGTCAAGTATGACGTTAAAATCGCCTCCGACGATAATTGGGTAATCCTGTTCTGTTCTAGCCGCTTTCAAAATTTCTGATATTTCTTTAAAAAAGGTACATTGTTCACTACATTTGTTTGGAGCGTATATATTTAAAAGAAAGTATGGTGAATCCTGAATGGAAACCTCTAAGAAAACATAGCGACCTTGAGAATCAACCTTGATAGATCGCACTTGAAAGTCTAAGTTATGCCTTACCAGTACAAGTACACCTCGACTATGGCTACTACCGTGCGAAAAGAACATGTTTCCTTTCCACTGTTTTCTCCAGATATTTTCAACTTCTTGAGTACTGTAGGTTTCTTGCAGAAAACAAATATCGGCTCCAGAATTTAAAAGCCAGCTAAAAATTGCTTTCCGCTTTTCAAAAGTACGAATCCCTCGAGCATTTAGTGACAAAAGGCTAAAATCAACGTTACTACGCCCTACTTCGCCAAAGGGAAAAACAACTTCATTAGGTGGGAAAAGTTAAGCGTCAGTTTGGCACCTTCAAACTTTAAAGAATATATCCTCATTAACGCGCCAGAATAGCTTTGAAAAACATAGTAAAAGCAAAGCAGAACATCTACAAAAGCAAAAACGAAAAAATTACATTTCAACGAGATACTGAAAAACACAAAACTTAAAAGAGCAGCAAGATAAATATCCTTAACGCTGCCCTTGAGGATGGAACTAATTAAATAATTCGACATCTCTCCTAGAGAGCTTTTGCTGCATGGTTATAATATACAATAACCAAACGATAACACCTTACAGCCTTGCTATAACAAATAAAGGTCACGGATAAAATAACCCTTACGCAGAAATAAACTTGCCATCAATAAAGAGTTTATCCGGTTCCGATTTACTAAAGGATACTTTTTGGCCCCTTTTTTTAGCTTCCTTTAATTTAGGCATTTGTTCGCGCCTTCTCTCTATGATTTCCTGAGGGAAGTCTTGCAAAATCATATACTCAGTGCCTTTCAATTCAAACCCAGCGCGAAGCACTGTCTCGCGATCTTGATAGCGTAAAAAACGGGCTAATATCGGCCTGGGCAACGTCAATGCTTCCTACGGTAAGGCAATCAATATTTACTTTGGAAAGTTGTTGTTTTGTACCAATCAACATGAACTCAGTTTTGTCATCATTAAGTTTGAGCTTATCCGTAAGCATCCACGTACGAATGTCCGATATACAGCGTTCCATGGCAATGACCGCATCAGTCTGATTAGTAGCCGTGTCAGGACTAAACGACAGGTAAAGCTGAGTGTCATCAGCATAGGCATGTGCTTCAGGTAGATGGTATTTGATGACTTCAAACAGTTTGCTGGAATAAATGGTAAACAACAATGGCCCCAGACACGATCCTTGTGGAACGCCATAAGGAAGCTTAAAACTGTCAGATGTAAAGCCATTTAACGAGACTCGTTGCGACCTGTTGTGTTGAAACAAGTGCTAAAGTGCTAAAACAAGAAGCCAAGTATTATTTTTTTTTACCGAAACACCGGCCAAATATAATTTGCTTACGGTTGATGCAATATAAGGATTGCTTCTTTTCTGGTCCCCGCGTTGTTGGTAGGAATTTGCAAACTTATAACTTGACCCCAAATAATAGTAATAAAAGATCCAAAGCGGCAAAGTTGAAGTTTTCTTCCGCAGAAACCTTTTTTTTTTAGCTTTCAAGCCAAAAAGTATCTCACTGCCGCTTAATGGACTTTAACTACAACACGCATCAATTTTCTGTCAGCAATAGATTGAATTTGTGTTTTATACCAATTATTAAAAGGGAGCTACCGGCTTCCGGAATTTTTCCTCGTCTTTTAAAAAGGATTACTGCCTTTAAAATTTTTTAAACACTTTTCTTGTAACATTGCAGTCAATCAAGGAGGCAGACAACCTCTCCATGGCTAACAGTACGTCAACGTCATCTTGCTTTCATCTTCCTGATCCATCTTTTGACCGGGTTTCAGAGCGTTTCCTGCTAAATCTTGTAACAGCCATCATAAATATCATTTCCGCCCCTTTTGCCGTCATCTTGAACCTTCTGATTACCATTGCCATCTTTAAGAACACTCTACTTCGAACACCATCAAATCTCTTGATAGGCAGCTTGGCTCTATCTGACATTTTAGTTGGTCTCACAGTTCAACCAGGTTACATCACCTACAGACTTATGGAAAATCAGCATCGAACAGTTCCGTGCTTCGTTCGAGTTGTGTACTCTAATGCCTTCTACATTTGTTGCGGAGTGTCTTTTATGACTCTTACAGCTGTAAGCTACGAGCGATTTGTGGCAGTCCGTCTTAATGCAAGATACAACAATGTCTTCTCGTCGAAACGAGCCGTTAAATATAGCTTGGCCATCTGGATGTTTAATGTCTCAGTAACAAGTCTGCAATGGGTGGGAATAAACCATGTCTCCAGAGCAACGCATTTACTGGTGTGGTTTCTCTGTCTTTTGCTGTCAGGAGCTGCAAACGTAGGAATGGTGCTCGTTTGGCGTCGACACCGACGCCAAGTTCAACGCCATATCGGGCATATTACCAATTTTCAGTGGCGACAGAGACAAGAAAAGCTTACAAAAACTGTTTCTTTCATCGTGGGATTCTATTTGTTATTCAACATACCCGTTTTATTTGTCACAATTTATCACCAGATTTTGAAGCAGGACATTAAGACTTATAACCACTATAGTTGGGCGGAAACTCTAGCTTTCCTCAATTCCTGCACAAACCCATCAATCTGCTTATGGAAGAACCGGCAAATTCGTCAAAAAATATTGCTTTACTTCCGAAAACAAACTTCTTCGTCTACTAAACGGAATGGTGTCACACTCTGTGCTTCAAAAGAGACTGTTTCACAAGGCCGAAGAAAGCTGTCTGTGGTGGCAAACACCAGTTCACTGTAAAAATGCCATGGTGAATGAGAAGGAAATTAAATACTTTATTGGTTAATGGTTAGGTCGTAAACGCCCCGCCCCGTCGAGAACTGGATGCCAGTATTTTTACCCGTAATAGGTATCGCTTTGCAGTGCCGTAGCAAGGTTAGATTTATTAGGGGGGGGCAATCCCGAGCACTGAAGGCGCGAGCTGCCAGGGGGGTCCGGGGGCATGCACCCTCGGAAGATTTTGAAATATGGGGTCTCTGAAATAGCATTTTAAACCTTCCGAGAGCATTAATTTCCCACTTAAGAAGTGTACTTTGTTTAATACCCGCTTAATTTTTGTTTGTTGAAGCCATAAATACGAAATAATTTTCAAGCTTTATCGAACTGAAATGAACACATGGAACCGAAGACCAGCGTGAAGAGCGTGGCCGCTGACCAAATTACTGTAAACGTACCTGTCAAAATTATATGGGGGGGGGGGTCCCCGGCCCCTCCCCGCGCTACGGCACTGTTTTGGGGTTGTTCATAAAGAAATTTATAATATTAATATTGCCAAACGCCGTCATAGTGTGTTTGTGTAAGGCCTCGTTTACATAATTTACATAGGTCTCTGTATTCTGCAAAAATATGCGATTTTCTTTCTATTTATAAACAATATATTAAATATAACATTTACAATACCTACACTAAACAAGGAAAGGCAGAAGTTATAAATACGCAACCTCTCCGATAAAAATAGTCTGAGCCACAACTGACTTGCCAAGCTGAGAATTGCCACACCTAGATGACAATTTGACGAGGATGATGAAAACTTCACTCAATAAAATAAATCTTAAGGCTATAAATAAAAAATGATTCATTTAAATAGTAGCGACCTAACGTGAAACAAGCTGATCTGTGCAGTCTCTTTCCTGATCTTAATAAATATACGACAGCCTCATTAATAAAGTCTGAAATTTAAGTATATTCCCTTTAAACATCGATGGGCATGTCGCTGATGAGCCCACCTCCAAGAGTGAAAATCACTCAAAGCTAAAATAAAGACTCCAGTTTTCTATTTTTACAATTGCTTTTTGCCGGCAAGTTTCTCCACCGACTGATCAAAGAACAAGATTGGTTCTTGCGATAGCCAGGTATTTGTTTTTCTGATTAACCGCTCAAAGAAATAAAGTCAGGAGGTGAGCCATTAATACGACACAAGAATTTGTCGCACCAAAAAGAGAACGAGCAAAAATCAATCGAAAACGCTCTCCACACACGCTCATAAAATCCTCTTGACACTTTTTCTTGAGAACCAAAACTTACAATCGGCGACAAAACTGTAAAGATACTTTCAACGTGAACCGGGTACAAGGCGTTTCTCAAAAAATGCGACAGGATAAATGATCAAAAAACTTATTTGCAGATAAAGTATCTCAAGGAATTTTGACGCCGAGTAGAGCTTATTTTATAACTTCACTGTACTTTTCAACACTTTTAACCAGAGCTGTACCATTCAAGTCTCAATTTGTAACGCCTTTGATGAAAATGCAGAACTATCTCTCTCCATCTCTTTCATCTTCGCTGCCAACAGTTTGGTCGCTAGTCTTTGATGGGCAAGAGCCTCGCTATTGTCAGTGAGCTGCAAATAACAAAGAAAAGCAGTACTGACACATAACATGTAAACGTGGAGGGTGACGATATAGTCAGGTGCAGTTTTTGATTCGCTTCGCTACATTATCAATAAATTTAAGTTCAACAGAGACCCACAGCACAAATATAGGGTTCTCTAGAAAATTTAAATAAGAAGGAGAAGAGCAACAGATTAGATTGGAAGCACTCACGTGTTTGATTGGGTGTTGAGGGGGAAGCACCCGCCTCTTCCTTTGGAGGAGTCTTAGGGCTTCCCGGGAAAAATCTAAATTTTGGGGGTTAGCAACCAAGGAAATAATCACATTTATACTCATAAGAAGTGCACATTGTGCCTTTATCTACCCACATTAGCGTTATTTCCAATCATATGTTTGTTTTAAGCCAATGAAGTTTTGAGAAACAAATTCGACAGATCCTATATCCTCTTAAAAAGATTGCTCAACCGCTGCCGTGACCATTGGACAGCGATTGTCGCCTGAGCTTTCGAGGAACCCTGGAAGAACGAAGACAAGGACTGGACTATTATTCAACCGAAAATCCTCCATGAGCTGTGAATTTGTAAGATTTTCTTTTCATAAACGCTTACCATTCCAAGGAGCTTTGCAACTATGTCGTCTTTGTGGGCTTTAATCTGTTGGACCAACTCTTCTTCTTCGTTTTTTAACCCATTTTCACCCGTTGTTTTTTCTTTTCTTTTTCCGGGGAAACTGATCTTCTTTTTCCATCTTGACTTTTCTAGTAGTTCGTAAATGAGTGAGGAGTTCTTCGCTAGCTGCTGCTCAAATGCCACCCGATATGCATCGGCAGTTAGGAGGGCTTCCTCTTCACGCCTATGAACTACCTCAAGCTAAAAAACAAGGGAGAATTTTGACTGCATCCTCTTTGAAGATAAGTAAAATGCCAGTTTGAAAAAAACAAAAACAAGAAGAAAGGAAAAGAGCGAAGCTGGCATGCAGTCACCTTAAATGACGAAACCTACATGAGAAAAAGGATTTTTTTTCCGTAGAAATAGGCGAACTTGTCGGCTCAGATAGCCAACAGGCCTTTTCCTAGTTTCCCCAAGCCTCTGCTTCAAAGCGAGGCTGAGTGCATAGCCATTGACGTGAAAATGATTTTTCAATCTCATGGGAATAAAACTCATTTTCACAAGAAAGGCTTTGCAGTTAGCCTTGAGAGTTTTTGGCACTCGGAAATGGCCTATTTGAACATAAGATACGCTTAACTTTTGATGTTTGCGTGGACCAATCATATCACAAACTTACTTGAAAAATTTTGGCATTTGTACACGGTGAATATTTCCTTAACAATTCTAAAAAAAATTCAAAAGGGCAGGATAAACAATCTGTCTCCGTACCTCGTGTTTTAGTTTTGCAACATCCCGCTTGGCATCTACTGCTGCTCTTGCACATGCGCACGGCTCTTGATTCTTCCCTCTGCACTGGCAGGCGCCGAGAGTTGCTAACTACGAAAAAATAACAGAACAACGCTCATATAAACACGCAGTAAAGAGTGCCACTGATATAAAATATTAAGAATCTTTTTACACTAATGCCCCATTGACACCCATTCACGATAAATGGTGTTAAGATAAAAGCGTTTAGCCTCCCCGCAGACGTCCTTTGAGGTTCGTTTGGGGAGAAATGAATGCGTGACAAACGAACCCCAAAGGACGTCTGCGGGGAGGCTAAAAAGCGTTCGGCTAACTGAAAATGGCTTAGAGCGCGGGTTTTGTTAAATACTGGCTAAACTCCGTTCAAATAACTGGCTAGCCTGTTCCAGGCCTTCAGATAGTAGAGCGCGGCGGTCAGTAAAGAGCGAGTTAAATTGTACAATATCTGAACGCCTGGAACAGGCTAATAACTGGACCGTAAAGTTTATCTGGCTTTACGAGCGTAAACAAGTCCACATGGCTTGAAAAAAAACTTGTATTGAAGCTTGTCCTGTGGGCAAACAGCTCTTACATTTTGCTTGCCTTGGGCCAAATCTTGTTCATCTTCGTTAATGATTTTATTAGGAGCCTACGTGTAGCCGCACCCTCCCTCCCGACAAAGGAAAAACGGAGAGTTTTCCTTTATTGGGGGCAGCGTGCGGCTACACGTAGGCTATTTTATTAGACGACGACTTGCCTGAAGCCTTGCCCAATGGGTAAGTAAGCTTCACTGAAGCTTTAAAAACTTACTTGCCCAACAAGAAAATCTACTTGTCCCAGACTACCGGACGAGACTTTTTTCGAGCGCTGAATTCAGGGAAAGAATGTGTATGTTCAACGTCTGCATTAACGCGCGACCTTTCACACACTGTTCCTATTTTATTTACGTACTTCAAGCCAGTTTGAGTTTGCGTCCTTGCGATAAAAAGATACGCCCCAGTGGAAATCCACGTTTAGAAGCTGCTTACTGATTTTTGACTACTATAGAATAGATAGACTATAGTCAATCTCATAGTTACCTCAATAATAAGGTCTCCTGTTGATAAAACCTCTTCCCTTTCAGGGGTGGCCAGGTCATACTTGATTCTCTCTCGAACTTCAAGGGCAGCCGCCAACTCATCTCGCTCCCGCATTAGCGCTGAAGATAGCGAAAAACAAACAAATGAGACCCCGTACAAACGAATACGGATTATCTTTGAAACCCGTAAATTTGCTTTTTTTTTTTTTTTTTTTTTTTTACGAATCGACCTTCCGTCTACACGAAACCAGCAAATCCGCTCACCGAATCAATGCCGAAGAACTGGAGGTTCCGTTATGACCTATGGACCAGACAATTCAAAACTTAAAAAAAGAAAAAGAAAATGATCCGAATGATAAAAATTAACACATACTAATTGACAGGTACTACATTTTGACAGTGGGCAAACAGTGCGCAAATTAATAGTAAAGTAAAACGGCTAATTTATTGACCAATCAGAGCACGCGTTTTACTTTTGTTATCCCCGCGTATGTTACTACACTTTACGCGAGATTTAGTCAGGACAATAACCGTGAATATTGGGATCAATAATTATTACTTACCCATTTTCTCCATGGAAACTTTTCTCAGCTCATCAGATCTTGCCTGTAGTGCAACCATAAGTGTGGCATTTTCTGTTGCCACTCTGTCAAACCTCTCGGCCCATGTCTTCTCACTGTCCATCAAATAGCTCTGCTTCAGTTCCAGCTCCCATTGAAGAAAATTCACCTCCTAAATAACACGTTTTATACTACTACATGAGAAATTTCTGCAATTTGATTGGCTCAGAGCAGTGGTATTTCAGCTTAATTTGAAATACCTACATGTGAAAATTACCAACCTTTTGCAGGTAGTAGTATAAACAAATAATAGCATCATTTGTACGTGATATTTGGCATAATATACCACTTGTGACATTTCAAAATTGTCTCAAATTTATTACGTATAACAATTTCGAAATATCACTCATGGTATTTATGCCAAATATCACTACAAATCATGCTATTACCAATACAAATTTATTTCATGATACCTTTTCAGGGGAATATACAGCTATTTCAATAAACGTTGTCAGTGCGCAAGAAATCACTCAGTTATAGTAAAAAACTTTATAACCCTATGCACTGGATAAATCACTATCCAATGGACAGGTATAAGGATAAACCAACAATAATATTGCACTACACAGTGGATAGAGATTTATAAGGTGGATAGCATTACTGTAATTCCTGAGGGAAGGCGACTATTTGAGGGAGGTGATTATTTCAGTCGTGCCCTAAATATCTTTATTCTATTTTCCCATTAAATAAAAAATAATCACGTGAAATAAACTGAACATTGGCATTTACAGTCTTCCAAATTTGGTTCCTCGATTAATTTTCAATGTCAATGTCCTCTGCGTGAGAGCTTGAATCATCACTGATCAGTTTTGCTGGATCAGACTCCTTTTTAGCTTCATCCTAACCTAGAGGGGTGATTATTCGATTTGAGGGAGGCGATTATTTTTAACATTTCTGTCAAATTGGGGGGGAGGGGGAAGGAAATACGATACCCACCTTTTGACCAACTGATGCCAGATGTTAGCAGTTACAAATGAAGTTAGTTTTTTAACCAACTGTCACTGGGGGCAGGAGGCCAGGGATTTCTCTTCCGCAACTAATAGAATGATCCTCCACTACTTTCGTGGGAGACAAGGGGAAAATAGAACCAAAAAAACAGCCAAGCAGTTCAATTACCCACCTCTCCACCTCCCCACCCATTAATAGCATGTATCGGTACCCGAAACTTGAAATCTCAGTGACTGTCCTGGATGTTCATGGATCTATTGTACAACGGCACTGGTGAATAGCACATAATGTAGGCTTTAGAAGGTACAGTCAACTTTCTCTAAGGGTGCTTTCCATTTGTCAGAACTGACTGGGCAGACCATTCTCTTCGCAATGATAATTTCCCTTTTGATAAAAACTCTCCAGCCAGATCAGTCAAATCCTGAACAGTATGCAAGAAGGAGATGGTTTTTTGGCAAAAACTCCTGGAAAAAGCCTATTTTATTTTCAAACTGACTGGTTGAGCAATGCTCTGGCCAGCCAGTTCTGACAAATGGAAAGAGCCCTAAGATGGACACCTTTGGGACTGGCCCTGACTGTCCGTGTCTTAGAGAGGTGTCTGTTTTGATAGGGAGAATTGACTGTATAATGTGTATTACTGAATCACTGTCACCTTTAATGACCTTCCTGTAAACTGACCTGCTCAAGTTTCTTACTGGCTTCTAGAGCCTTTCTAGAACAATGATTTTGACGTGCTTCCTCCAATCGAGATAATCTCTGGATGATTTTTACGGCACCATACTTGCTTTGAAGTTGCTGCTGACAAGCTTCCAAATCTAAGGTCAAATTCTCAATCTCCTAAATTTTGAAAGAAAAGAACTTTGCATTATTAGTGTAGCAGAGGAACGTGGCTGGGTTTCTGAAGCCCAGAAAATAATTTAATTATTTTGTAAAGTTTACAGCGCTTCAAGCTGCAACCATTTTGGTAGCCATGGCGAGTAAAAAAATATAATTGGTGACTAAACTTGCAATGAAATCGCCAATTTGGGGACATGATCGGCAGTCATGAGCAAAGGTGTACAAAGTTTTTTTATCAGCTAGTATTAGTGTTAAAGGTTTTTCCAAGGTTAAATTGAGATAAATATTTGGAAGAGATATTATATACAGCTTCTTATTCAAGACAATTTTCCTCTTTTCACACCTTTGGTGTGAAGCCTTGAGATGCTGTGGAGCGTCCAAATTTGATTGCGATGTACACAAGAAAATTGTGCAGCCATTGTGATGAGACTAGCAGAAACTGGGTCAGACGACAACAAAAATGGAGGTATCTCAGGGCTAAAATTAACAGTAGGTGATGGGACATTTGCCAGTGTCTGACAAAATCCAACCAGTGTTCGGACAATAATTTTATGTCCGGAGAATATTTTTATCATAAATCATTTTAAGGTGAGGAGGAATAAAAATCTACCTAAATATAAAGTAAATTAAGTATATAAAGTTCAAACTTTTTCTGGTGATGTCCAACCAAAATTAAGTTTTGTCCGACCAAGATGGTGCCTTAAGGACGTATGTCCTTTCAAGAGAAAAAAATTATTTGCAGCCCTGGGTATCTAGATCTTAAGGTGACTGCAACTTAATTATGAACCAATTTTAGTATTTTTCTAACCTGCTCACATCCCATCAGAAGTAGCCAGATAATTATAAGTTTTGGATATGTATGAGTTCAATCATTATCGCTTTCAACTGAGTTGCTGAAATTTATTTTGAAGCTTGGGTTTGGCGATAAGAGCAAATTTTCTATTACAATGGTATTTTTGCAAATTGCACAAAAATTGAGTGATTTCCACAAAACTTAAAATTCTTGAGTTTTAGACTGTGTAAAATATTTCATCCGCCAAGTTTAAGGAAATTCGTTTGACTGTGATCTGTGCTATGAGATAAGCCTGAAAAACGACAACGAAACACAACCTTAACTTGGCCCAGTAACGATGTCCTGAAACAAATGCAAATTTAAACAACTATTTTAGAGGGCAGTAACGTTCAATCATTGATAAATATGACACATAAATGTTAGGATCATAGCTCTAACGCTGCTTGCGTAATTTGCTGTTATGCATAGAAGGAAATTTGCTTGCAAAATAATACAACTGATTTATTCACAATATATTCCAATTTGTGAAAATATGCTTGAAAAATATAAAATATTCATTATTAGCCCAGCTATTTAACAGAAGCAGGTCCAAATCTCATTCGATTGTACGCTGACATCATAACCAAATTTTTTTGGATCAATAGCTTTACCCAATTTTCTTTAGCTTACAATATATTCCCATAAAAATCCTTATACCGTATTTATTCGATTAACTGCCCTGGGCGCTTATTAAATTTTTGGACCTTGAGAGTGGGCGCTTATTCGAGGTGGGCCTTATTTGAGGCTGGGTGCTTGTTAAATTTTCATCATTTTCAGCAAGTGAAGTATGTTTATTTTGCAACAAAACAATAAATGCTAATAACAAAACGCGAAGAAGTAACAAAGCAAGGTTTCTGTAAAATACTCTGAAGAAAACTCCGTCCTCGGGAAGTCTCTTATTAGAATTTATTCATTCAAGTGGGTGGGGTGGGGGTGAGCACTTATTTGAGTTTGATTGGGAGGAGGAGGGGGTGGGCGCTTATTCGAGGCTGGGCACTTATTAAGTTTTTCTGCCTTTAGGATGGGTGCTTATTCGAGGTGGTTGCTTATTCGAGGTTGGGCGCTTATTCGAATAAATACAGAAATTTGGCTTTCAGTAGGCTGTTGTGATTCTGGGCTCCCTGTGGCCTGCCCTCAGTTTATTTCCCACAAGTAAAGGATCAGATTAATGTCCTTTGAATCTCAAATTACCGAATGGACAAAAAAACAAAGTAAACCTGTAATGGATAAGAGCTTGCTTACTAGATTACGAAACTAGATTACTGTAATGCATTATTATACGGCCTACAAAGATTGCAGTATGTGCAAAACACGGCAGCTAGATGTGTGTTGCAAGTCAGTAAGTTTCAGCATATCACACCTGTTTTGTGTGAGCTTCACTGGCTACCGATTCAATATCGCATTATTTTCAAGATTCTGCTCCTCGTGTATAAATCACTGAATGGGACATCGCCTAGCTATTAGCTCAGAAACTACATTATCGTTCTCATACTAGATCATTGAGGTCTGTTAGTAATGAACTTTTAATGCAACCTAGATCGTATACCAAGACCTACGGAGATAGAGCATTCGCTGTTCATGCACCAAGAGAATGGAACTTAATACCCTGTGAAATTCGGAAGTCCAACACCATCCCTAGTTTTAAAAGATCACTTAAGACGTACTTGTTTACTAAATTCAGTAATAACGGATCATTGTTTTTATAGATTTGTATATATTGCATTAGTTTTAATTTTTCCCTTTTTTTTATCATTATGAATATGGTTTAATAGCTGCTTTAGTTTTAATTTTTTTCCTTTTTTACCCATTGTAAATATAATAGGATATGGTTGTAAATTTGTAAATATTTTTCAATAATGACTGTAAAGTGCCTTGAACATAGGATAAGAGCGCTATAGAAATAAAGTTATTATTATTATTATTATTGCTTAAAATGGAGTTCATGTAGAGTTTACGTACATGCATATTAGAAAATCTGTCATAGATGGTCCACATATCATGGAGAAGTGAAAAATGAAGTTCAACTAACCTGTTTAGCTTTGAAAAGCTTGCGTTGCAGTGATTTGTACTCACTGTCCTCAACAAGTGATCTTTTCTCTACAATATCCAAAAAATAATGAATAAAAAATCAACAGTTAAAAATAATAATTACATGAACTCTTTAGTCCTCTTCTAGTAGAATTCTACACTACAAATTCACTCAAACATTAAAGACATTGGAGCAAGAGATAGTAATCCATTTAGAAAAGACTGATTTATTTACTACATTTGTTATGTAGTGTTCTATTCAGCCTTTTTTTCAAATTTGTATTTTTAGAATAACTTCTGCACCATAAGATGAAAATGCACAACTCTGGCTTAATGGCAGCATACAGGTTTGTAATCACTGAAGCCGGATGACACCTGCTGTGTGGAGAATACCTGCAGTACATCCTTTTATGTCTTGAACTTGCCAAGAAACAGGCAATTGGAGGCAGGGACTTAGCATTGATTGAGGTAAGCATGTTTTAGTAGCTAGTTTTTAAACTAGGAATTATTTCAAATGAATAATAAAACAATTACTGGATTCGGCTTTAAGTGGAGCTCTCACTCACACAAAGCGTGTGCAGCAGAGTGCCATGGGTAAGAAAATTTGGTTATTTATGCATTCAAGAATTTTCGGTTCTCACCAAATCATCCGTAAGTACGTGTATATTACAGAGGGTTACAAGCGATTAGGGTGAAATTTCGCATTTCAAGCACTCGCATGTTTTAGTGGTAAATCACATGGCCACCCAGACTTTTAAAGAGAGAAAAAAACAACAAAAAAGCCGAGTCTTTCTTTTGACTAAATCTTAATCACTTACGTGGATAACAGAGAAGGAGCTAGAGTGAGAAAATGAGAAATGCTAGTGACCATTTGCACCAAGGTGAAAATGAGCAGCAGGGAAAAAAAGCAAATAGGAACCCATATAACATTTCCTCCATAAAACGTGTAACCTGAGGAAGTGTCTGGAAGTTTCACGTTAAAGTCATGCAAAGCAACAGCCAAGACATGTACAAAAAAGTGTGCTGCACATGAAAAGCTGTTTTTTTGCTAATAAGACCTACTGTTACCACTTAGCATTACACCATTTATTATTTTGTTTGAGTAAACTTCAAGTATATTACAAGAGCTTCGCTTTTGGCCCTGGCTAAATCTATATATTATATGATCTGAAGAATTATGGAGATCTGGGACGCTGAACCCTCTAAGTCTTCAGATCATACTCCTCCTCATCCAATATTGTTTCACAATAACTGAGCGAATTCTCACCCACTGATTGGACAAGAGCTACGTTCAATAAGCGTACACACCATGGAAATGAGCTGATGGTGACACAATTTGTTTTTGTCATTGAAGAATGCATGAATTTCCAGGAAACTTCAATGGAAATTGACAATATAATCTGTCAATGTTATTGTAAAAAACAAATCAACAACAATTTTCCATGGACTCTACGTGTACTCTTATTGACCATAGATTCAAATGATGTCAAAATGTTCAAAACTTTGCTGCGAAACCACTCGCCTGTGACTCTTGGTTCCACTTGAGTTTTGAACATTTCATCATCATTTCTATGGTCGATAAGAGTACAGACCATGGAAAATTGTTGTTGATTTAATTAATTACTATGATGCAAAGTGACATAACGAATAACAAACAAAGTTAAAGTTGAAGGTAGGGTACAAATACTGGAATTTGTGCCCTTAAAAGGTTGCTACACTGTATTTATTCCATTCTCTGGTTTCCCACTACCTTTGCTTCACACCCAAAAATTGCTTTCCCCATTTTTTTGGCCGTTAATTCGGTGCCTACTACATAAAATTATAAAACTTTCTGTAAACAGAATGTCTCACAATACAAACAATAAATCTTAATTAAAACCAGAAAAAATGACCACGAGGCAAGAATTCTTGACACTTAACTTACTCCAAAACCAAACAAAAATGTCCAATACTTCATTCAGCTGGGCGGGACATTAATTTTGGTACCAGCTGTTTGGATGGAGTAAGTTTTCTGTCTAACAAATCAGCTCTTTAAAATTTTAGCATAATATTTTAATTGTGTCAAAAGGTAGAGAATAAATTCACGCAATATCAAAGCAATTCGCCTCATTACCGGGAAAATGAAAACAAATACAGTTGCATACCAAACGAGTAACAATTTGCACCATGTAAAATTGTGCACACGTACAATTCAATTTGTAAATAAATTCATTTTACCTCTGACAGAGTTTATTCTTCGTAGTCCGCGAGAGTTTTCTTTCGTACCTGTAGCTTTATCATCGTTTTGTATTAGACTTTCACTATTTGTCCTATTTCTCAGTCTTAACGAAAAGCTTCTCTTCGGCAAACTCCAATTGGAAATCTTCTTGGATAGCCCGCCCTTTTCTTTGAAGCATTCAATGCTCTCTTTTATGTTTCTCCACGATAGTGACTTGGATAATTGATCGTCTTTTCCAGAGACCTCACTGCTCTCTGTCTGTTCTAGCGTAGGTGATGATGGATTATAGAATAATTTCAGTATCTCTAAATCGCCGCTGATATGATCATCATCCGTCTTGGGAAGCCCGCCGGGTTTGCGGCCGAATCCCAACCCCAAATCAACTGAACACAGTGAAGAAGAGTCATCGGAAGAATCACATTCCTGGGCTCCCATGACTTCTTTTTCCATTGAGAACCGATAACAGCATCTGTCCCGAGAAAAGACCGAGATCACCGGAGTTTTCTAATGTATTATATTGGCAAAGTATGTATATGGAGATACCTGTGTTTACTGAAATTTCAGCTTTGTAGCCAAGCTGAAGCTGAGAATCCAGGCCTGCTACCTGTTCACGAGGAGGGTGGTGACCAGTCTTTTACCCGACGAGTCATGACAAGTTTCGTTGAAACTATAAAGGAGTTTTCAAGTCATGCTTTCTCAACCAAATTATCTATCTAACTTTTCCCTGTGTGCATCCCCTTCTTCCTTCTCTGCATGTTGAGACGCGTTCTTTTTTTCATATGGCTAATCTGGTAATAGGCAGGCTCCTGCTTTCTTGCTTCCACAGCACATTCTGAAGAAAACAAAAGAATTTTGTTGCGTTTCCACTTTTTGCGCCCTCGCTTGCGAAATTTCCTTACGTCATATAAAGCCAGTACAACGAGAATTCGTAATTGTCGGCATTTTTCAGTTGCACATGTCATGTCCTAATGACAGAAGCCGATGGTTTTTTTAGAACAGAGGTTTGTAAAATAAATTTGAGCATATTTTGTTTTATTATTTAAATGTTGAAATGAAAAGGCGTACGATTGAGAATGTTATCAAAAGTAGATAAAAGTGTAATTTTCCTCAAACTTTAAAATCGTTGCATCTATCAGTTCGCTAGTGGAAAAAGCTGTTTAAGTTTTTGTCTACTAATAACAAGACATTTCCTTTCGTCGGCCATCAACGCGGGCAGCATTACGGAACGACATGTGCCGGAAACTTTATACCGATAATTTTTATGCTCAGCGGTTGACTACGTACGTTTGTAGTTCACCCGATATTTTAGTAATCGCCGTACATTTCTTGGAATCCTGAACTATTTCCAGAAAAAGCCGCTCTGTTTCTAAGAATGCCTGTTAGCTCGTTTGAACAAATTCTGTTCGAAACTCACATATTTTAGAAATAGTCATGCTAAGGGACATGATCGTAATCAAGTCCTGGCTATTGTATTAATTGTGTATACAAATGATTGACTATTTGTGCATAAAAATGAACAAATCAATCTTATCTGATTAATTCCACGTTTTATCAGTAGACAAAAACCTAAAACAGTTTTTTCCACTGGCGAACTGATAGATAAAACGATTTTCAAGTTTCAGGAACCAAGCGGACAGTTTCATCTACTTTTGATAACACTTGCAAATTTGGACGCCTTTTTATTTCAAAGTTTTAATAAAAAAAATATCGGAAAAAAATATTGGCTTCTGTCTTTAAACATGTGCAATTGAAAAATGCTGACAATCATGATGAACTCCTGGGGCACATTTTTTTACTGGCTTACGACAGACGTAAGCGAACATGTTTCGCAAGCGAGGGCACAAAAAAGTAGAAACGCCGAGCGTGTGAACAGGCTCCCTGTTTGGAGAAAGGGTGAAAAAAAAAACTGAACCTATGCCTTCCCTCTGCTCGCAATTTTTTCACCCTTTCCCCAAACAGAGAGCCTGTTTACATGCTAGTGGAAACGCAGCAAAATTCTTTTGTTTTCTTCAGAGGAATGTGCTGCCGGAAAGCAAGAAAGCAAGAGTACGTTTAAGACATGGCCGAAAATACTGATTACCTTGCATAAGATTCCTGAATATGTGTTATGCAAGTATGCAATAAGAATAATTTGTTGGTTTCCAAATATACTTGACCAATGAGAGCCAAGGGGAAATTTCCCGTCGACTTGAGCGTTTTCTCATGCATGGGTGCCCAGTGATAAAATAAAGAGCAAGCAGCAATCACGAACATCTTCAGTTGCGTTAAACTTCGACGAAGACTGTGTCCCGTAAATTCTGCTTACGATCTAAATGATGTCCTCACCTGGCAGTAGCTTTCAAACGCCTTTGATATCCCACGGCCTTTTTTACTTGTTTTACGTCTTCCTTGGTAAGAGTAGTTTTTTGTTATTTTCGTGTATTTTTAAGGGTAAATGCTCCACTCCACCCAGCCACTGTAAAACACTTCAGTGATACTGAATTAATCGTCACAGTTCATCAGACAGTTTTACATGTAATGTCTAATTTCATTTTATGGTTTTAAATAATTTGCAATGCTACAGTTCGATCGATACAGTCTAAAATCATGGCCGTTTCCCGGCAATAAAGGCTGGTTCGGGCTTCTGATGCTACTTTAACTGAAGTTCGTGCATGTAAGTTTTAATAAGCCAAAACATAAACAGACTTTTCGACAATGCTGACACTTGTACTCAAGAGATAACGGCCCTCTGTTATTCGGCATCAGAAATATAGCCCCATTCACTTGAGATAATTAGACAAAGCGCACTGGTACTGTGCCTATGTTGTCTATGTTATTATGACATCGTGTTTACAAAGGACACAGTTAAACAATTAATACTCCCCTGGGGGTGTTTTAACAGCAAAGAATAATAAAGACAACGTACAATAGACTTTAAAATTTCTCCTGCTAATCAAGGTTTCTCGCATAGACCGCATAGTAAAGTTTCTTCTGTGCTCATGATGGATAAGACCGAATTTGGAAAGGTACCCACAGAAGCCGAAGCCTGAAGTTTATTTCATATTTATGAGGTTTGAAAGTTTGCTTAGTGATGACAACCGGACTATTGTTCGAAGAAAAAGCTCCATATTTTGCATTCACTCAATTTATCCTAAGTGCTTTTATGATGTTTATCACTGTATTTTCACCTGACAACCGTTAAAGGCTTCATATGTTTGCTGACGGTCCTGTGATATATGTCTACTTATACACGCTTTTTACGCAACTTTTTCTATGTCACTTGGTCGTGACTCAAAGAAAAGCTTGAAATCCTGTTACGTTTTAACTTTAACTAAACTGGGTTATAGCATCAGTTAAATATCTGATAAGCAATTGATATTTTTAAGAACTTCAGGAGCTGAGCCGTAACAGTCTCTGATTCTTTATGTGTACCTAATTTATGAATTAGTTAGTACCCCTGGGAACAAATTCAAGTTTATAAAACATTTGGCTCAGCTGGTTTCATCTGAGCACACGAACCGTCATTCAGTTTTATTTACCTACGGAAACACTACATTATACAATAATAGACCTATCACCTGCTACGATAAGCATGAATGAGAACTAGTCTCCCACTCAGGCGTTTTTAGGGGAGCACGACCTAAAACGAGCTCCCCTAAAAACGCCTGCATGGGAGGCTATATGAGAACAGACTGTTTTTAAAACAACTTTCAAGTTGTTCATAAAATGATGTCACGCCGGCTTTGTTCATGTTGTCTTCTGTTATAAGACAAAGTCATGCTTAGTAACGATGACTAAGCAATCCTCAATGAAAATTTCTCCACGTGTACTTAACAAAATTAGACAAAGTATATATAGTAATGCAATTTTAGATGCAACAAACAAATAACAAAGGAAGAGGAAATGACTAATTGACGGGTTTTGCTTGAAACATCACTTAGAAAAGCTGTGCAGTAATTTATTCGTTGCGTTTTTTCCTCAGTCTGCAACGTCAACATTTCGTAAAACAAACATTAAGCCTTACTAGGCTGGAAGCTCTCAAGCTCAGTTCCCATAACCACGTCAGTACGGCCGTTTTAAAGTATATGATCTACTTTCGCAAATCCTTGTCAACAAAACCTAAGAGATTTTTGCTGACTTTGAAACTGTTTAGTTAAAGCCGGCTTTCATTTGTTACCCGACTGGATAAAAAGAGCTGTTTTCGTTATGGTCGTTCGTTCAATATATTTCTCGAGAACAGCACCAATCCTCTGGGCAATTATCTTCTTCTATGGCGCTGCTGCTACCGGTAGGTGTGTCTTAGGATTCAGTTTATACAAAAAAAAACAAAAACAAAAACAGAATATTATTAATTAAAGCTGCAATTCACTACAAGCTAGTGAAATTTGCCAGATCCAAGACCCAGTCTTACCCTGGGACTCTCTGGAGTATTGACCAGTCCACGCCAGACAACTAGAAACATCACTGATTGGTCTGGATGCGAGGCATTTCCACGCGTTCTTACTATCGGGTAACTACTCAGAGTGAAACTTTGGTCAACATTTGCACGCATTTAAATTAAAACGCTGTGCTCTCTCAAATCAATCCGGCCACAAAGGAATCTTGACATCAGATAGGAGATTATAGAATCTAGTATATCTTCTAACAAGGCTTAGTTTATTGCAATCTCCTACTGGCTTCTGCTATGCACCTAGAGGGTGTACAGTTGTTTCCGGAGAAAGTCAACACCAAATACTACGCAATACCCCAACATCAGCTCGCAGGTTTCAAAAAAGGCTATAAAACAATATATGCTATTTTAAGTCATGACTAAGTTTATGCTGTTAGCTATGGGGCCCCTTTGTTTAGGCCGTCAGAATTTCACTTGACCATGACTTCTGATCTCTAGATAAAACTTGATTAGAACATTCCATGTACTATATCTATTGTTCTAAAACGCTCTAATTAAATTTCTGTCAATCTTATTTTGTCCTTTGGTTTATTTCATTAGTCATCACCGACCATCTGCTGACTTGTAATGTGTTTCTGTTGAAAAATAATGTTTTAAATTTAGTGATCACAATGTACCTTATCGGAAACCTTTTACAATGAATTTCTGTAAAAGACAATGTTGTCTCTTTTTCCCGAACCCTAAGTGAGGGGGACGTGGGGGTTTACGGTATTGCGGTATTGGGCTTTTTTTCATGCGGTATTTCGGTAATTTTAATTTTAACGTGCGGTATTGCGGTATCGTTTAGCCTTGCAGTATGCGGTATTTCATCATTTTGGCTGACGGTATTCGGTGAAATATGATTGTTTACGGTATTGCGGTACGGTTGTTTGCGCTTTCCTTTCGATACAAGACGCAAAACAAAACACAGTAAGACATAAAGGTCAAGAAAAGTTAATATTTAGAAGTCTTTAGACATAATGGTAAATGATTACACCATTTGTGGGTCATTTTGTGACAGTTAATGGTCGATAATAATAGGTCAAGATACAATGAGATTGTTGTTGCATCCAATGACAATGAGTTGTCTCAAGTTACCTTACCAGGCACGTGTGCCGGTAATTCGAGGTCTTACACGTTTTCTCACGATGGCTGAGGTCGCTTTGGTTCAAGACGGTCAAGACGGCGAAGTCATCATTGACTGCGTTGCAATTTTTTACGAAGAAGGCAAAGGAGGGGAAAATTATCGCAAGAAAAATAAATTTCGATGCCGGGTTTCAAGTACAGAAAAACGGCTTGTAAAGTTAAAGGAGAGGAGTTGGTAAGTTTGCTTCTTTAGTTCTTACAGGTGCGGCGTGTGAAATAGGTCAGATAGTCGAGATAGGTGACTCAAAACTCGCACTAGACGTGCGTGGAAAGGGTTTTGGTTGGTTTGTTTTTTGTTTTTGTTTTCAAGCTTTCATGAGTTATTTCCATACGAGTTAATTAGCTGTTGGATCGACCTATAAGATCCTATAACCAGAATTGTCTGTGAGCTAGGTACTCGCAGTTTGCCAGGAAGGTCAGGAAGCCGTTTAGTCCATTTGAAGTTTAGTCGTTTAGTTTTAGTCCATTTTCTCACGGAAAAATAGGGAACTGTGAACAGTCTAAACCGGTTGTAGTAATAATGACGCCATCATGCAAATGCCATTTAGAAAACCGTTTTAAGGTAAGAGAATTGTTATTCACTATTAGGACTGTATTAGGGATCACGCCTCACTGTATGCTTTTCGTTTTGCATACTCCTACCAAAAGGTTGAACGAATGAAGTTTACTTTTCAGTGAAAATTTGCGAAAAATTTGCGAACTACCAAAATATTAAAAAAAAACATGGACATCTTTGTGCATAAATGCCTGAGATAATTAAACGCGATAGATGGAAGCAACCATAAGTATGCGGAACCGATTATAAATGTAATTAAAATATGCGGTATCGGTATTTAGTCGATTTGCGACGCGGTATTTCGGTATTTGCCATTTTTTCGTACGGTATTGCGGTATTGGGTACCCCCCAATGTCCCCCTCCTAAGTACCTTTGCAAAGGATTCGATGATTCATCGAGCTTTAAAAATGATTTTGAAATATCCTAATTCTTATTTTGAAAACTCTCGCGCGCTAAAATTATGAGTTGAATGATCGTGACGACATTGGCATTGTTACGTTCCCTTTTGTTTTACTCACTTGCCGTCTGCTTATTTCCTTATCTTCACTGTCTGTTCACTCACACTTGTTGAATCGATAAATGTGTCTGATATTTCAATTTCCAGTTTAAGGCAAAAAAAGTTTAAAATTGGGTCAGACTTCAGGCGACTGAAGAACACGTTTTAGGCGACTCAAGCGTTCGAGTCTTCCCGTCAATGATGAAAACTAATCAATAAACGTAGAGGATGAAGCCCTAAATAAAAAGCCGCTGACCTGATGCAATATGCAGTCCCTCTTTAATTTTAATTTTATCCAGTGCGATATCGGCGTAGTCAAGTTAGCTTTGGCCTCCTTTTATTGCCGCTACAGCCGTTGCAAAGAGTTTTATTCAGTTTTTAACTTTCTGAGTGTTCTTCTTTTTGATTTTCAGTGACCAGAGCTGACAGCAGCTGTGGCAGCGCATTGGAAATATGCTCTAACGAGGAAATCGAATTCCATTGTCCACTACTTGACCAGGCTATGAAGTCTAATCAGTACCAAAGTCTTATATGGTCTGTGTTCGACCCAAAGAACCCATCAGCGGAAAAGGAGAATATATTTTACTGTGGGGAAAACCCTTTGAACTGTGCGACTTATAAACTGAACATTTATAACGGACGAATCTCTGTCAGAAGTCCTGTTCCAGGGAAACTGCTTTTGAAACACTTGACCAAGAATGATTTGCTGACCTACACCTGTGAAATACAGCTTAAAGATATCAACCTCGGCCAACTTGTTTGTAGAATGAATATCACCTCGTCAGTTTATTGTAAGTTTATAGTGATTATTTTTCGCTTTTCGGAGTGGGCCCCCGCCTTAATTGCTTTCCCTGACAAACTACCTTTTCTTGCAACCAAAGGAAAAGTATCGCCTAGACACTTAGTTAGATTGGCCATTTGGTCGAACAATACGCATAGCAAACAAAATTGAATGTTTCTTCTATTGGGAAATCAGTCCATTCAACCAGTTCAATTAGTAACCCGACGAATTCCGAAAACGGATTTTAATTCGATGCATCGCAAAGAATTACTTTTGTAAGTAAAGTACGGTGACTACGGGGTACAGACCTCAGACAACGACATCATTTATCCATTCTTGATGGGTCTATATTCATTTTCCCACTTTGCATAAAACTTTATTAATACGCAACAGCATTAGATCATCCATGGTATGAGAAAGTCTGAATTGCCCCATCCATAGTCGACTAACTTATGCGTAGTCACCAGGCTTATCTCGATCCCTTATGTTCATTGCAACCAATAACGACCGAAACTCTCCTCACAAACTGAGTCAACTAGCCTGCCTCGGATAGGTGTAAGGAACAATAAGAAGAGGTCTTCAGCCTGGGAGAAGCGTGGTAAAGATGCAAGGTGTGAAGCTAAGGGGGAGGAAAATCATTACCTACATTTACATGCTTACCCTGTTTGTTGGTTCTCTCCCTTGCTCCGAGAGGTTTTTGTCCGGTACTCCGGTTTTCCCCTCTCCTTAAAAACCAACATTTCCAAATTCAAATTCGATCTGGAACACATAAACTCCTAAGTGATCCGTGGGTAAACAAATTGCAAATTACGCACTGATTCCCCTCTTCTTCTTTTGAAGATCTTGCTAGCCTTGGTGAGCGACTAACCTAACTCATTTTCAAGTCCATATCTTTTTACAGACAGAGCTTTCCTGCATGAATTAATTTACTTTTTTTCTAGGTATGACCGCGCATACTGGTCAAAACGTTAGTCTGACCCCGCAAAAAGAAAGGGAAAAACAGCTGTCCAAAAACTTATTGGATGAAGACATCTGGTGGTCCATGATTGAAGACAATGGAAGAAAGTGTAGATTCCTCTACTGTAATGCCACAGCATACTGTGCTTTTAGAAAGGATCCTTGCTATGAATCCCGTGCAGAGTTCTTCAAAAGACTTGAGATCGAGGAACTGTCATTAACTTTGACCGACGTCCGGCAAGAAGATTGTGGGTCAGTATTTCAACGTCAAATTCACCCTAACAGGTTGATGAAAAGACGAGCTAAGCCGTGGCATGAATTATATACGGTGAAGATTCAAAATGTTTTACCTTCAGGTTAGTGGTATAAATATCTGTTCATTATGCACCTTTTGATAAACCATTACCCAGAGGCAATCCTCCAGCAGGGAGATTTGAGCGCGGTGTAGGAGCGGGGTTTAGATCAAATGTCAAATGGAGCAGTTAGTGGCCATTTTACTCTCAGTAACTTGTCAAGTTTCCGTGATCACCCGCGAGCCTTACCCGAGACCACGAGGTCCGACAGCAAGAATAAAATGTTGTGTTACGAGAGCCTCCCCGAAGAATTGCGTTTATTGAAATAATCAAAATGGTCCTTCGAGCCGGATTTAAACTGTGTAGCCAGCTTTAGGATGGATGAACATAAAAAAGCGCACTTCTTGATACCGCCGCTCCAGTTTATATGCAGGTATTTGCCGCGGAGTCGTCTAGGACAGGGTGCTGATCTCAAGATTTTTAACACTTACTAAATGAGGCTTGGTATGATTTGAGGACATTATGCAAATTGAGAAGAAAGAACGGCCTCGGTGCATAACATCCTCCGAGATCAGCATAATTCTTCACACCATGCAGAGCCGAATTTAATAATTGTGTTATCATTCATTCAAAATATTTCTAAGTTTTAACAAGCTTACCTCACCGTAGACTTTCTTCAAAACTTTGGGCTATTTTTGGGCACGGTTTCAGGATTAAACAGATTTTCTTCAGTGGAAGATACTCTTCTATCTAGCAATATATTTGACGTATTCTGGCATTTCGTCCGTTCAGTTTTAGCCAGAAATTGGGTCAGCCATTTCGTTTTCGGATAGCCTTGAACGCTATTTTTTCTAGTTCCCTCTTGAACAAACAACTATAGCGGCCACGCCTGGAGTCGCAGGTAATGGATGGTATGTATGGTATGTTGCCCAAGGAGCCTCATTTCCAATCAATACAATCGAATAGATGTTAAATTAATTGGCTCGCATCTTCCAAATTTGGTCAACTGTAGTTGGTTATGAAGATTTTTAGCCGGGGGCTTTGAGCCAATCAGAAACGGTGAAATAGTTTGAATGAATTTTAAAAAGGAATTAATATATGTTTCATGATTTTCATTCTAGAAGCGAAATTAACAGAAAAATAGAGACTTGGAAATGAGAATAAGATTTTCGACCTCTGATCTAAAAGATGGTTTCAAAAATAAAGCTGAATAGGTATGCTAGTCTATGAATATTGAAACGAAGTGACCGTTTGGTACACCGACATCTAAATGAGATTTTTACATTTCCTTTTACAGATTCAGATCCCAGCATCACTAACTCGCAAAGTACTCCTACAGATGATAGCAGTACAACATATACACCACCGACATCCTCAGCTAATTGTTGCCAAGTCTCCTGCTCTACTTTCACTGTATTGGCTTGTTTTTTGATAGCAGCTTACTTTTTCACGCTGTATTGAGTTCAACAACTGTTCCAAGCAAGCAATCATTCATGTGGGGTTGTAGAAATGCCGTAATGAACAGTCGCATAATGGAAAATAGTGTTTTTGCAAAAAGACTTGCGATGAAGCTGTCGGCGCCGGATAAAGTGATGCCTGGGTTCGAGGTCATGGAAACTAGCCTGTTTCAGGCTTAGCCGAGAAAGTCGGGTTTGCGAAATTGAAAAAGCACGAGCACGACAACAAAACGGGAGCAAACTGGGGAGAGGAAGGGTATATCTGAATTTTCGCGTGCTGTCACGGTGATATGCATATGGGTACCCCCGTTCCTAAAATCCTAGTGATATGGGTATCCCCGGTGACCCAAACCTTAACTCTAACCCAGATCGCTAAGGTAATATATATGAGAGGGGGATACCCATATCACTAGGGTTTTGGGAATGGGGAAGCCCAAAACGAGGAGATGCCCGTATCACTGTAACAGTGCCTCTCACTTACGCGTCATCCCCTCTATCTGAGAGCCTGGAACAGGCAGGAAACTGCAGAAAATTAATATACTACTGTTACTCAGAATGGTAAACTCTGATATAATATCTAAAAAACGATATTTTTTATTGCGTGTATTTATTAAATAAAGCAATTATTGGATGAGGCTGACATGATCTGAAGAATTATGCTTTCGAGGAGGTTGTTATCCGCCTAAGGCTTCTCGGATGTCGTCCCCGTTTTGTGGCCAATACGGGAACTAAGAGTGTGATTCGGCTTTTTCTGTTTTTTAATATAAAATAGGTGGTGTAGAATCCGTGCACGGACCCATTGGTCTTTAAAACCGACAAAATTTACATTGAGTTCATTTTGAATTCTTTAATTTCTCCTAGAGTATTTCCGCGCTCCATTTGCCGCACATACGTAATATTGTTTTTTGCCGCGGTTTATTATTTCTCGACTCGCGGAACGCGGAAATATCGCGATGCCCAAATTTTACTTTTCTCTTGAATACACCCTGCAGTGACCATTGCCATCGTGACCTTCGCGAAAAACACTTCAACATGTGCTGTTAGATGGTTCAGTTTTATTTTGTTTGTAGTGCGTAAACAAGAGTTCCTTTTACAATGCAAGCGACCCTGAATCAAGATTTAGGCTATATTATTACATGGGCTACAGGAATGGGATGCGTTTACAAAACATTCATGCATGCAATAAGATCGATGTGTCAGCGTTATGTTTTGCTTTATAAGTAAAATCAGCCAAGTAGAACTCCAAAAGGGAATTTCTCGTCCTAAGGGAAATTTCCCTTAAGCTTGGGTTCTAAATTAAAATCCCCGTCAAAATCTAGCTGGAGTCGGCTTGCGAGGGTTAGTTCTGTTGGAACTTGATACCGAGTAGTGGCACAGTTAGAAATCATCGCTATGTCTACATTTCGTAGAAACCCTCAAAGTCTTTGTACAGCTTTCGCAGTCTTGGCATGCATAGTCATAAGTAAGTTTTACTTGTTACATTGTGATCTCTCCGAGTGTTTTTATTGAAGTTAAGTGACTTTGTTCCTTTGCACACCTTTCATTAACTAGGGGCAATCACAGAGGCATTGTTGTTTGTTATGCGTGTAAAAAAGCTTATTCTTATTTGCTGAACTAGTGTGCAGGCCAATTCAGCCCACAACGCTTCAGTTGCATATGTTTATGATGATAATATATATCATATTATTATTTTCGTATACTCATACGGGAACCTCAGATGTCTCTTACCCAGCAAGAACGTTAGAGACCATTCGATCACTCTAGATGACGTCTAGATGAGTCGGGGAGATGTCCCAAATATTCAGAATATTCACTTAGGAGATCCCAGGGAAAAGTATTCCATAACTTGTCTTCTTGAAGAGCTACCGTTAACAGTTAATTTTTGACGGAATTCACTGCTCAGTTGAGAATGAGTCGTATAAATCAACGATTCAGTGGAAAAAATCAGCGATGCAAATCCATAAAATCGATGCTTCAAGCATTGGGGCAAGAAGCCCGCTTACTCACTCGTTCTGATACATTTTGATAACATTCTTTTGTCAACGCAAAAAAAAATTAAGTTCTCCTTTCTACCTTTAGCCGAACGAATTTTGACCACTTAGTATTTGGAAGATTTCAGCTCGGGTTGATCTTTCAAGGTGAGACCTTCCAAGTCTCATCCTGGAACATGGAAAAATGTCTAGCTTGGTCACCGAGATTGATCTTTTATGAGAATATAAACCGCATTTATATATGAACACATCAAGACTGATTTTTACAAGGGGGACACAGCGGGTGAAGAGATATCTGGGAAACCGACAGCTCAACCGAGCCAGCGCGTTTGACCAGACTCAGACACCGGTTGGGGTACTCCCTTACAAGAGGCTAATAGGGATGTGCCGCTGAATGGGGTCGCATTTTCATGACTGGATTGACTATAATGGGGTCGCATTTTCAATAAATTACGAGAATGGGGTCGCAAATTTTTGGATTTTGGGTTTAAGTAGGGATTCAAAATGGGAAGATTCTCGGTTAAATAATCAGAAAGTTGTTGTTTATTGAATTTAACAATAAGCTCTCATTGACCACATTACATTCCGCCTTGAAACCACATCGATAAGGTAGATGCATAAATAGAAAGTGACTAAGTTGGGATCACGAAAATTACATTTTCCAAAAAGTGACTAAGATGGGGTCTATAATTGGTCAAAAAATAGACTATAATGGGGTAGGGGCTCTGAGAGGCCAGCGGCACATACCCAACAAACATTAACCCAAGTAACCGCCGCCCCCCCCCCCCCCTCCGCGCCCGGGACTCAGACAAATAGTGCAGGTTCCAAAACCTCGTCAGTTATAATTTAAACAGAAATTATGGATCTTGGCCGAGTAGGTGGCTGCATTGACGGGGTTTCAATTACACTGAAAAGTCCAGAAGAGAACGCTGTAATCCTGGAGAAAATTTGCTAAACTGGAGTATACTGGCCAGTCGGGTTGCAGCCTTCGGTTGACTACACCATGACATGAAATCAGTTCTTAATGTAATTAAAAGGTGGTTCCGTAGTAGAAGAACCTAACATAGATTTTAGATCGATGAAACTTCGCACACTGATGTAACAAGTCAAGTAAAGGATAGAACGTTATAAAAAGTGGGGGTCACCGTGACCTGCTCGTTTTCACTGTACAATGCTGACGAATACGGCTATTTAGGATCCTTTGGCAAAAACCGCGCGCAGCCCAAAACTAGACAAATAGGAGTGATATTTTTCCATGACGAATGAGATATCGCGCATAAGTTGACTTTGTTGTCCGATGCCACCTGGTTTCCCCGCGAAATGACATCTGAGAAACGAGTGCAGATACTGTTGATGCGTCACTACCCAGATCTGGGTAGTGAAGCGTCATCAGTATGGAATTTCTGCGCTCGTTTCTCAGACGTCATTTCGCGGGGAAACCAGTGGTGACTTACGTACCAAAAAAATTCCTTTAAATTGCCAAAAACTGAACATGTTTTTCGTCTCTCACCAAGAGAGAAGAAAAACATATTGTTTTACTCTTCACTTGTGGTACTGTATATATATATATATATATATATATATATATATATATATATATATATATATATATATATATATATATATATATATATATATATATATATATATATATATATATATATATATATATATAACATGAAATGGAAAATGGGGGTCAGCATACTCGCTGTTGCGGTAGAGCTGGAGAAAGAGTGTAGGACTGGGGCGAGCTTCAAAATGGCATGTTCGTGGAAGGTGGAAGAAAGCATTGAAGAACCAATTTTTACACAGAATTTACATAGAGAAATCACAGTTAGGATGCAACGCGATAGACATGGCGCTTAAAGGAAAATTAAAGTGATTTAACACAAGTTTAACATCCACTATAGAGGGTCTCGGTGAGGAAGTCGAAATCAGCAACAAGCGTACCGTTTACATTATGCATATTCCCAACCCATCGAGTCAATCGCAATCGAAAATTCCTTTAATGTTTCTCTTCGATCAATTATCTATTCTTTATATGCACAATGAGAGATGCGCAGTGCAAAACCAGCGCCGCGTCACCTTGAGAAACGTAACTGGACGTTTTGCACTCCTATGAGTTGCATTGCTTAAAACTAATTAACACAGTTTCCATTTGCTAATCAGCTTTCTGTTAAAAAAAAAAAACGTTTCCCCATAAGTGAAAGATAGTAAAATCACACTCATATCACGCCATTGTCAGTTGATTGGTTCGACGTGTCCTTCGTTCGACGTCTGGCCCAAAAGACGATAGTTTAGCTTGACCCAAATTAGAGTTTGGTTCGTCTCATGAAAAGGTCAACGTTTGGCCTACGCCTAAGGAACAAAAAAAAAAAAAAAAAAAAAAAAAAAACGGGCAACAAGAACGTGCAACTTGCTTTGTAACATTCTGCAAAAAGACTTGGAAAGCGATGTTGCGAGTTTTAACACTCACGAATCAAACCTGTCTTGTAACAAATCAGGTTGTTGCTACTTGATTTGTTGCAAGACAGGTTTGAACTTTGCACGTTTTTGATGCCCGTTTTTCGGTAGCTTTAGCATTACACGATTTTATTATTTGTTTGAGTAAACTATAATTCGTATATTAACGTGAGCTTCCCTTTTAGCCCTGGCTAAATCTTTACATTATTTTTTGGTTTTGGCGTTGTTTGCTTAAAGTATGGATTCATTCAAGTTTTTTGAAGATCACGAAGACAAACTTTTATTTTATATGACAATATAAATGTTTCTGGAGGATTTATTCCCGCTCTAGTTATTCTATTAACTTAGAATATTAAGTATATTCTTTTAAGCTTCACACGGAATTGATGCAGTAAAATGAAATATATATTGGGGCTCGAAATTGGCCTTTGGTACAGTGTGACGGAAGGTTTTTCCACTTTCGAACGATTTGAACACTCAACGGGAACTTGACGCTTTATCTATGGGTTAACTGGGGGAAACTAGACTCAATTGCAACTAGCTTGCGGGAAAGAGCCGTCACTTCTCTTGAGGTCCGGGATCAAACCACCAACTGGTACATCAAAGGCAAACTGAACTTTAATTCAAACAGCGTTTATTCTTGTACACCTAGCGTAACTTAGCTCACAGATGTAGTCGGCGATGTAATCGACAATCAGTAAAACTTACTTATATATGATTTTTACAACCCTTGAAGACAAAAGAATACAACAGAAATATAAACAGAAATCACTTAGAGTTAAATGAAAACTAAATACTAATTCGATTTTTAACCTGAAATCTTCTGTCACTGTTGCTGTTTCAGAAAGTAAAAGTACTGAGACAAAGACTTCGCCAGGTCAGCAAAACAGCGTTTACATACAAAGTGTTACAATATGAATTAAACTGCAAGTTCAGCTATCGGCTGTTTAAACAGGAAAAGCGCAAACTAATTGGAAGTTTTCACCTTAAACAAAAACCGATCTAATTTTAAAATTGCAAGACCAGAAAACCTTTCATATTCAAAATTCGGTTATTACCTCTGTTTAACTAACAACTTAATGAAATATATTTTCGCAAGTAAATATAACTTAATCGCAATTAAAACGAGATGCACCTGCACGAAGGGCGGTACCATCATTAAATGTCGACTGGTAGTAAAATTACGAAAAATAGACGAAAGTTAACTAAACCATTATTAAGAAATGAATTACATTCTTTCAAGAGTCAACATCGACGAAAAATGTGTATAATGGAAAAGAGAACGAGCAATTAGTATTGTTTGTTAACGAACACTGTTGGCTTTTTTTTGTGATTATTTACCTGGCGAACACAAAGCAAATGAAACAAAGGATAATAAAAATGGCACGAGCCTTTTTACGGAGCTAAAACTTCTTTATACAAATTCGGTATGAATTACTAAGAACATCGTCAAAGCGAATATTTGAAAGCTAGATATGATATTCGAGGCAAATAAAGAATTCATGGAAAATCTCTCCTTACAACAGGAACAAAAAAGCGGCATTGGCTGTTTCACAGTTAACTTCCGTTTGATAATCTTTGTTACGCATATTCGCAAGCCAGTTCGACGTTTCTTCTAATATTAGAAATTTGTCCACGTGATCGTAATCGTGTTCACGTGATCGTGATAAAGCGCAATTTTTGCATACAGTACATGTGCTATTAAGCTTACTCTGGTACGGAAATCGGCGTAAGTTTCATAGCCTGTTAATATGAAAAGCCGGGAAGGAGAGTTCGGGACACCCACAAGTAGGAATTCCCTGAAAGTGTTGATATTTTGGCCGCTTTTTGCATTCTGTGCTGCCAATGGTAAGTGTTTAGAATAGTCGTCACTAGGTGGATATGCCGGTCGTGTTATTTCGCCCTGTACACGGCTCTTTTTTCTGAACAACAGCTTTAAATAGAAAGTCTTGGCAAGTTTGAAACAATCTGGGCACTCGTACCTAATATAAGTAGAAATACTAGTAGCATGAATATACTTATAAATTACATGCCTGTCAATTGAAAACACAATCACCTAAATAGACATAAATGGTCGTTTTTTTTTTCAAAATCGAAAATAAGAAGGAGAACACGAATACGAAATTTCTGTCTCAGAAAGTTGATGAGAAGTGAGGCCCACGGAGTCAGCTATCCAAGCCAACAGAAGCACGCACGCGATTCAATACATTTTCCTTTCTTCGCCTCTACATTAATTTCTCTTTGCGTATAATATGTCTCATTTTAAACTTGAAAAAGTGAATCGATTATGTAGCCAATTCGTCTAAACGACGGCCGTTAGTTTAGGTTGAAAAATTAGTACAAACGAATGATTTTCGTTTTTTCTCTTTTGCCGCCGCTAGTTTTGAATTAGAATTTCTTATTTAAAGGGTAAGTATCCAGTCGGAATGTTTATCAACATTAAAACGATCGAAGCAAGGCTCAGCACAGACCATGACGTTTCACCGTGGAGCTAGTTTTTGCTCACCGGCAGTAAAATAATAAAACATAAGCCGATGTCAGCATCGGCAAAATATGCTAACAAGACAAGTCCATATTTCAATTAATAGTAGCCTAATCAGCACATTTTAAACGGTTAATTTTTTGAAGCTGTTTAAGGTTCCTTTGTTTGAATTAATTTAACGCATCGCGCACATTTTAGACAATCTAAAACTTTAGCCCCAATCTGAATAACGTTGACATGATTACATGATTGCTGTTCATTACGAGAAAATACGCATTCATTTGAGTAAAACGGCGACCAACAGCGCGAAGATACATTCATTAGCGCGAAAAAGTGAACATTTGCGCATAAATCAGATTCAATAACGATTTTTGCATTTCAATCAACATTCAATAACATTTTTGGGCATTCATTTGCGTCATTGGGCATACAAAAGAGAAAATATACTTTCATTAACGCCAACATTCGAGTCATTAACATTATCTTGAAAATCATCAGGGACAATAGGCAAACATTTAAGTGCAAATGCTATTCATTAACATTCTTCTGACACTGTTTGCAATTCAATAGCATTCCTGGACAGCTTTAGAATGGATAAGACAAACATTAATGCACTTCGACAATCAATTGAACGTTCTTTACATTTAATAATATACAAAAATATATTTTAAATTAAACAATACCAATTCCTCCCCAAAATTGGCCCGAATTTGTTTAAAGAATCACGCCGTACTTCGCCACTGTGTGTTCGTCGACGGCTGCGGCTATACATTTACCTTAGACGGCCAGAAGTCATGGTGGGGCGCGACAGGGAGTGGAGGGCGTGCCGTAAAGTGTGCGCCAACGAGGACGAAACTTGACTATGACCATGGCAATATTACCTATCAAATGTTTTCCTTGGCAGCTGCTGGAGTAAAGAATACCGTGTCGGTTTTTCGGTGACTTTCTGGCACGGGCGAGGAAAAAATGGATCCCGATAAGTCGGTGGTCTTTGCGTATGACGGGGTGCCATCCCACCTAGATTTGGTCATTCCCGCCCCATACGTACACAGCTTATGCTTCCCCCCTCGACATCGTTGAAAAGGATTTAAGTTGTCTGGAAGCGACATCAGAGGCCGACATCTCGAGTCCGGAAATTTACAGATGTATAACAGGAATGAGGGCAAAGCCCTAGCAATCCCACTAGCGGAGTTCGGAAACAACAATTGCAGTGCTTGAAGCTCTGCGCAGAAACATGACATTGTGACCACGGCTAAATGTGCTAAAGGGTACCATTACATGCAAACCTACCTCCCCAAATGTTTAAATAGCGAGGTTTTTGAGGGATATACATTTAAAGGACTGAAATTCAGGCCTAATTTGTTTGAATTTCTGTTGTTTAATTGAAAACTGATTTTTGTATATTAAATGTAAAGAACACTCAATTGATTTTACAAGCGCATTAATGTTTGTCTTATCCATCCTTTGGTTGTTTAGGAATGTTGTTGAATTGCAAACAGTGTCATAAAAATGTTAATGAATAGTGTTTGCACTTTAATGTATGTCAGTTGTCCCTATTGACTTTCAAGATGGTGTTAATGACTTTGATGTTGGCGTTAATGAAAGTATATTTTTGTCTTTTGTATGCTCAATGACGCATATGAATGCCCAAAAGTGTTATTGAATGTTGATTAAAATGCAAAAATCGTAATTGGGTCTGATTTATGCGCAAATGTTCGTATTTTCGCGCTAATGAATGTATCTTCGCACTATTGATCGCCGTTTCACGCAAATGACTGCGTATTTTCTCGTAATGAACAGCAAAAGGCGTACTTAGTTTAGAAATCCTCGGCCGTCTTGAGTCCATGTATACGCGTGTCAGGGACCATACATATTCATAAATTCTAAAGCCGGTCCGTTTCAGTCGCTTGAATTTGTTTTGTTCAATTAGCGCTGGTTTTTATTAGACATCCACAGTTCACGTAATATCCGGCAAAATGAATTTAACAATTTGGACCTGTTTGAGCGGTAACTTGCATTTGAGGGCCACTAGTTATTCGGATGAAGTACTGTTCCGTGTTACCCTCGTTAAATAAAGTTGATTATTATTATTGTCACTGGATTTACATGCACGCATAGAGAAAATAAAACAAAATCATCCCCTAGAGTAAGAACTGAGTCATTGGGGTGAGCTATGAGGGAGTCTGGGAACAGTCTACTTAAAGGTCCAGCAAAGTTCAGTGAATCAGAAATTACAAGTTATCTAAAATGCATGTACTCCGTTTCGGATGATTGATATATCACATCTAGACTGTCACTGCCTTATAACTCCACTGCTAGGGCACTACAACAGCTGTACTGTTTTAAGGAGGCTCGCAACCATTTTTCACGGTCTCATTCATTCGAGTCAGATGCTTCATAACTTTGGCTGTAGTGCATGTACGAAAAGCCACAAAGTGAAACAACATATAAAAAATTGAAATAACGCAACCTGCGTGCTGCAATATCTGTTTCGCGAATTTGTGGTTAACCATTTTCCACTCCGATGAAACAAAAAGGTTGTGTTATTTGAATAACTGAATCAAATGAATCGTAAAAACAAGAATCATTCGAGTGTGAAAGAAGCAGTGAGCCGTGGTCTGGCAGCCTGCATTCAAATAGGCGGAAAGAAACAAATATCCCTAAACAAGTAAAATAGTAAACAATGGCCCTTACGAATTTAGGAATTTTAACGAATTTTTAAACTGCGACTTTAAAACGAAAGATGACACCTTTTTGCGCTTACATGAGTCGAAATAAGAAGGTGAGTGAACGCAAAGAGCGATTGCTTACCAGTTTTTACCACTGAAAAAACTAAAACCGCACCTTAAGCCAGGTATATAAATATGGATTGTAGCAGCACAGCAAATCATAATTTCTCTGTTTGTTGTTTCCTCAGTTAGGAATATAGTGAAATTTTTTACTTTTCTATTCCCTCGACTCATCGCTCAACGGGGAGACTGCCTAGAATAACTTTTCATAGACCATTACTAGTTAAGCAAAAATTAAATATTAACCCTTTGCTCTCGCGCTAGGTGCTGGTGATGTAAACGTAAAGGACGTTTGTCCGACAAATAAAGTGAAAGTGGATTGCTCTGCTCTTCTTCTGCAAGCCATCAATAGAGGAGAGTATGAGGAAAGCTTCTTAACTGTTGACGATCCTCTTGCTAAATCAATAGAGGAGCAATCTCAAAACGTTGCGTACTGCAACGAAAACTTCACCTGCAGGCCATATGGGTTAGAACAGGGCAACTTTGCCAGAAGAATCAAGCTTGTACTGAACAATTCTGTAAAGGGGATTTTCTACGTGGAGCTGTTGATACCAGATGACCTTCTAGTTGTTACTTGCCAAGTCATAAGAAAACAGAACAAAGATCCATTGGTTCATCAAGTAACTGTCTCTTCTTCCATAAAATGTACGGCTGGTAAATTTATCCATTCTTGATCTACAGTAAAATCCCGCGACTAAGAACCTGGATTTTTCCAAGTTAGCCTAAACAGCGGTAGTTGGCACACGTTTGGGCTATGTAGGTTCTTAAATAGGTTCTTAGTTTCCAAAGAAAAAAAAAATACAGTATAGCTAAGAGTATTTGGTGGTTCAGTTGACATATCTTATATTAAAATTTTTGTTTAAGTGTGCGGAAGTTTTTCATAAATTTTGAAAATAAGAACCTGTTTCAAATCTTAGGCTAAACAGGTTCTTAAATAGAGGGGGCTTAACTGGCAAATTTTAGCCTAACAGGTTCTTAGTCGCGGGGTTTTACTGCAGTCTCTAATAATTTGACGGATAACAAAATTTCGATCACACGTCGAGCACTAAGCCTGAATCGTACTCGGTTTTCGCAGTTACTCAGGGAAACTGACCTCAACCTGCTGTGGTTAACCGGGCGCGGAAAGAAAAAACTTCATTCACTTTTTGTAATGCCTATACACTCAGACAAGTGTCTTCTCAAAGTTTTTAGGATCTGACACTTCACTGTTTTTTTTTTTTAAGATTCTTTTTTCTACGTATAGTGTCGTACTGTGTTCCCTTCTGGTCTGACCCCAAAAAGAAAATTATATGTCAAGAAAGAGAAGAAGAAGAAGAAGAAAACATATTAAAGACAGCAAGAACTGACATTCGTAGTTCGTCTAACGCAGCTAATGAGTCACTTGCGGCCCTACTGAGCTAGTAATTTTGTTTTTCTTTTCAGGTCTCTCAGTGATTGTTGGCCAGGACGTTGAGTTCAAAATAAGTCAGGATAGAATGCCCCCAAAGGAAAATATTCAAGACGTTGGTTGGTACTGGCAGCAGCAGAGGATAGTTCATTGTAACTCAAGCTTTTGTCAACTCGAGGACTGCAAAATTCCCTGTCCACAGTTCCAACCTAAACTCATGATTAGAGGAACAACATTGGTTTTGACAAGAGTTGGCGAGGAAGAGGATGGATTAGAACTACAATGCAAAATTTACCCTCATACGATGGGTACAATTATAAACACCGAATCTACGCCTCAAGTTTACAAATTTAAAATTGATGTGCTTCCAACAGGTCAGTCCAGCTATCCTTTTGGAGAAAGTACTATGATAAATATAATTTTTCTTTTTTTTCTGCCAGTCCATTTATATTGTCACAAAAATCAAGCTAGTTAATTTTAAAAGGTAGTTAAGAGTGTTGGCGTGTATCTTGAGGCGTTCATTCATATACCAGCTTGGGAAATCTATACTAATGACAATTACCCCCCACCCCATTTGGGCCAGTATTGGCCCTTTGAAGCTCAGTCACTTGATCGGTCTTAAGGAGCTGTGTCACTGAGATTTATCAAAAGGCAAATAGTAAGAGCTGCTATCAAATTGAGTAAAACAGATTGCAATTGCGGTTTTTTCAAAACTTGTTAGCCTAAACGTTTTTCAAAAGTTCAGTTCTACCGGATTGTTACGTTTGATGTAATGCTTTGGAAGAGATACATGTTTGATGTGAAGCTGTGATATACTCATTTGTTACTAAATTCCTCGTTAACGTTAAGTTCCTTAGCGAATAAAGACGCGTTATTAGCAATATTAACCCCATGAACTAGACAGCCGTGACACAGCCTCATTGATGCATAAGGAATAAGGTACATGTACACCTTAAAGAATACCAGAGATGGAAAGAGCATGGGAATTTTAGCAAGGAACTCAAATTTGAGGTGACTGACACGAAATACTAGGATTACCATGGGCCTTGGAATGTCTGAAAAATTATGAGGGTTTGCATGGAAAAAATTGCTCATCGCAAGGCTTTCGTTATTCATACCACCATAAAATCGCCTTTTTAAGAGTTAAAAATAACAATTGGCTGACCAAATTTTTCTTTTATGCTCTTTGAAACTGTGGTATTTTAAGGTTGTGGCATGAAAAAGGTCACGAGTGTCCCGGAGCTATAAAGAGCCCATGATATTTGGCCAGTTGTGCTAAGTGTTCAACTCCTATTTTTGTGCTCCTATCCGATGTAACCTAATAATCCTCAATTTTTTGTGTTAATTTGTAGGGTTCGTTACCAAGAGTTCAAAGAGGCCTCCAAGTACAACACCCACACGAGAAACAAAAGGCTCATCTTGGGTATACAGTTCAAAACCTGCTGCCGCAGGCCAAAACACATTAGCTTTCGCTCGTTTTTTGATCACTTTTGTCATACTTCTTGTGGTTTCGTGAGAAATAATCTTAGATTGGAATTCTGCAAGCATGCAATGAAGGCGAAATTATTATTTTGTTTTGCCTTTTATTACGTAATGTATAGAGTGTTTTCACATGACGTCACAGCGGCCATATTGGTGTCCCAAAACAATGAAACAGCAGCCATGTTGGTGTCCCGAACCAATCCTCTGGGAGTTGAACTCTTTTCTTAGGCAAACGCTTTCTTTTTTTCCAATAAATTTGTATAGATGCTGGCCAGGTGAGTGAAAACACTCTATATCTCTTAGTATCCGAGTTCGAGATCCTTACTGTAAGTTACAGACCGAGATTCATCGTGGTCACCGGTAAAATGAAAGGCAGTCACTGGATAAAGTTTGCTCTCACCTCTGTCCGCCTTACCCGCATTCTGAATGAATGTCAAAACAGCCGTCGAAAGTTTATGGCGGGATTTCAGTGTGCGTGTTGTTTATAGTTAAGGTGTTTGGTGAAAGGTTTGTTTTTGTTGCTCTTGAGAAAAGTCTTTGTCCGTTGTAGTTGTAGTCTGTTTAAATCCGTTTTGTATCACTCTTTTGACTTTGACTTGAAAAAGTTCGAATGGTTGTTAGGACTCGGGTTTTAAGGTTTCTTCTGGCAATCAGTCATTGAATAAAAAGTTTTGCCTGTCGCTGCTTTCTCTGTTTCGGCATGAAAATGTTAATGAATACTATCCGTTGCATACCGCAGAATATTCAACGGCTTTCTAGCTTTCTAATTGGCTGTACTCTATATGGCATCAAATAAATTGTAAGTGCACTTATTAGGTTCGCCAAAGCCCGATATAAAAAGACATTTAAGTTGAAACTGCCCAAGATGTAATCCACCAGTCAGTAGAAAACCATTTAGTGTTGTGTCAAACGTGTGAACTAGTAGTGCTCAGCATAGCCCTTAATCCCCAGCAAACTTTTATTATGCCATATTGTACAATGATGACAATGATTTCTTGACTTTGTCTCAATTAACTTACAAGAATCCGTGTTTTAAAAGACTTTGTATAATGGTTAGATCATATGTTGGAAATAAACGTCTAACACATTTGTTAGTGTATAAATTACGTGAATGCTTTGATCTTGCAACAAAACCTTGGTACTTCAATGAATATTTCAGTTTAAGCTTAGCTCTAACGATGATATGGACTGGGTGCTGCTTTTAGTACTCTCCTGTAACCCCCGGGGGTACTCCCCTTTAAAAGTGACGAGGGTGCTCTTCGTACCTTTTAGAGGTTTAAATTTCTGGATTGGTAGCGCTAAGGGTGCTTTAAAACAAACGCCAGTTCTTTTTTAGTATTGTACTCGTCGTGTGAAATAAAGGATAGTAATGAAGCATTCAATGTTTATAGTATGCAGAAAAACTGCCTCTTGGGGGTGGAAATGAATTTGGGACACTCCCATAAAACAAGATTCTGGTACCTTTTAGAGGTGTTCTCGAAATTTTCCGACAAGTACCCCGTCACTTTTATAGGTGAGTACCCTTCCCCCCCCGGGCTGTAACCTGTCCGGCCAGTTTTGGAACTGCCGGCATAGTTCACAGCGTCATTAAGGCACGCAAGCTCCCGCACCACGACGAGGTAACAGTACTCATGCTGCTCGTTTTTTGAACAAGTTAATCGATTTGTAAGTAAGTCGATTGATTGAAAAGCTTTTGCTGTACGAATGACGCTCAATTGAAATTTTTATAGCCCTTGCTTGATTAAAAACCTTTGCCGCATAAGTGGGGCTCGATTTTTAACGCCGAAGTTTGACAGAATAAACGCTCCACACTTGCGATCCAATCTTCTTGATTGTGCCTATGTTCGTATTCTCTGATAAAGACCAAGCATGACTGCTCTGGTGTCATGTTACTACAGGGCCCGCGCTGGGGTAGTAGGGGCTTGGGGGAGGGGGGGGGGGTATGGCAGGGCCCCCTACTTTTTGTAAAATAAATAAATAAAATTAATTATAGTGGAACCTCGATGTAACGAAAGGCCTAGGGACTGGCAAAATATGTTCGTCATAACGAGGTTCGTTAACTTTGTCGTATTGCCTTATATTTTACTATTACTGGAGTAAAAAAAAAAGTTCGTTAAACCGAGGACTTCGCTATGGAGGTTCCACTGTAATATAAATTTTCATATAAATAGTATCTTTGTTGGAATAAGATTCTTCCAGCATCTAAATTTATTATTGGCCCGTTTCGATCCAATCAGTCTGGTGCGTAAGCCTCAAAACGCCTGTCTTTACAAAACTGCACTTTTTTTTTGACTTGTGCGTTCTCAAATCAGCAAGGCTATGTAGCATTTGCAACGATGCGGAATAGAGTCTTTTTTATGAAGGTTCTCGATTAAATCTGAAGACTACTCCACGAGCTACAGTTTCTTAAAACTAACGGCTGATGATATGGTCTCTGACGCATTTCGATGACTCACTAGACAAAATGAAGGGGTTACAGTAACCTACAGTGTGATACCATGATCTGCAAACTTCTATTGGTGGATCCTGCATGTGCAATCAGGCTCAGCAGGAGAAGGGTACTTTTTCGCGGCTCGAAATTTATAAACATGACTCCGCTCAACAATGAATCAAGAAAGGCTCAGTAATCTGACGGTTCTAAACAGCCACAAAGAGAGAACAGCCAAATTTGCACCCTACCCCCCACTTCAAAAGAGGTGGTCATCGGCCTTCGCACTCTAAAAACTGCTCCGCGGGTGCTGTACTAGTGTGTACTGGCGTAAACACTGAGTCCTTGAAGGTAATGTATGGGCTCCTGTTTTGGCTTGTTTAAATAAATTCACAATGATTTGCATTTAGATGTTTTCGTATCCACAAAAGGCTCCCACCGTTTTGCAGGTTTTATTTTCAATTGCTTTGTCAGTGATTACTAGATGAATAATCCTAATAAAGCCAGGGGAGTTATTCGTATGCCAAAAACCTAATACGTTAATTTCTCTTTTCAATTGTACAAATTCTTCTTCTGGCTTCAAGAAGAAATCTGAGTTTTCCGAGTTTTTACTTATAGATTAATCTTTTATTTATTAGTCTATATTTCACAGCCGTGACCGGCATCGGTTCATGGTAACGTCTTTCTGTCAGGTGTACATAGTTTTTAACTGCAATTTGCCCACCACTGACAAGTATTTATCTGTGCCGACACAGAACCATGGTTTGCGTGAAAAGTTTTGCTGACTTGAAAATCAGAAATATGTTCGATTTATATAGAGCCGCCAACTGAATTTCCAGTTCTGACTATTCCTACTGTAATTTATGTAGCGAAACGGCTCACTTGCTGACTTCAGTTGGTAAACTTTGTTCGTATATTGGTTAAGCAATCAGCACTTTTCCTTTATCTAACAAAATTAGTAAGCCTAAAAATAGACCTTGGGCTAAAAGTTTGATTTTCTAATTAAATTTCCCGAACTGTTTATGTTCCTGTTTACATTTCTATTGTGGTTTTCAATGATTTTACAAATCAGATGTGCAAATCGGTTCTTTCCTGCAGCTGCCATTTGATTTACCTTTCCCATTTCCGAAATCCAGAGTTCAAGCGTCGAGATTTAGTTCTTATCAAAATCGTTCAAAAAGTGACGAACCTGTCCGTTACAAAAGCCAGTCTTACGAGAATGTGTCACATTTACTGACGCTTTGATTATGGCACGATCACGTGCATATTTACATTTCAGTACAACTGATCAGCCAGTAGAAAGAGCGAACCTTTGAAGAGGGAAATTTCCCTTTCTAAAATTATCAGCTGAGAAACACCTTGCTTTATGCTGGCTCACTAAGGCCAGCAGTAACTCCTCATTGAGTCAGTCCTGTTAAAACTTGACGCAAAGTATGAAAGTAGTGACAGGGGTCGTTACCCCGCATGTTTCAAGACATTTCACGAGCTTGCACAGTTTTGAGTGAGTGTTATCATATTTTAATTCCTCTGTGTGTTTTTTGAAGAAGGTGATTTCCTCTAGAAAACGTTTTTGGTCACAGTGATAGTAGTCTGCCACACAACCGTTGTTAGTGTCGTCAAGCAACGCTCTGCGTGACGACACTAAAAACGGCTGTGTAGCGGACTAAAGTGATGGCTACAATAGCATAATATTCTTATTGTTTGTCTCTGTGGTGTAGATCGCAACGTTTCGACTGCTTGAGCCGATTTTTAACAAGAGACGACTTGTAACGAAGATTTTTACGGCCAAAGAGTTGATACAATACAATTGAAACACTGTTTGAAAGTTGCATCGCGCCCGTCCGTCTTTTTTTTTTTTTTTTTTTTTTTTAAAAAACATTTGACACTTTTTGATATTTTTTAAGGACTATCACCTCATAAGCCCTTTTACAGTCAAACCAGGTCAAGCGTTCCCGCCGCTAACGAACTAATGAATTCATTCACGGAAAAATGATTTCGTTTGTTGATTCAATAATCCATTCATAAAATGAATAATCCAATAGTCATATTTAGCCTCGATTCCATAATCGAATGTTGATTCGATTACTGTTTTTTGAAAAATTACACTCTCCACAAGTTAACCTCAGAATTTTGTTTTTTCCTCTTTTTTTTGCTGAGAGTCGAGTGCTGGCGAGTTCTGAAGTTCAAACCCAAACAAACTGTTACATGGATGTTACTAAAACGGGGAACGGGGAGCGGGGAACGGGGAACGGAAGTCTGGGAACGAGTTGTCAGCGGAAACCTCCATAAAAATCCAATATGGCCGATGATCGATGATAGAGAACCGTCGAAACAAACTTAACCGATAACGGCGTTATTTTACTTGAACTATATGCTCATGAGGTGCTTGAAATAATACGGAGGTAATAACTTCATGACGTTTTTCACCTTTTTGCGTTGTACTAAACAATTATCCGTAGGAAACAAAATGTGCTCCAACAGCAGTTGAAAGAAGCCAATCGGGACAAAAAGTCTCAAAGCACATGTACATGTACAGCCATATTTGGAACTCAAGCGAATCTATACTGAGTCTAGCCCACAAAGCAATGAACTACTTTTCCATGATAAATAACATAAATCGAAGTAGTCAAGTAGCTTGTGTGCAGACTTCTTCTATTTCCTTTGATAGAGATGACTGCTTTGAAAAATGTTATTGACCACGTCATCACATAATTAGTAAGACTACTTTAACAATCTGGTTCTGCTTTTAATATTATTAGATTTACTACACTGCAAGCATTCACGATATTGAAGTGTTTCACTGATCCATGAAAATAAAATAATATCATTTTATTATTTTGTGAAACAATTTGTTTCAGGTCAGTTTGCCCAGTATAGACCAGTATAATGACCCTAATGGAACCTAATCCACTCATTTTCCTCACCCTAATCAGTAACTGCTTCAAAGTCCACTGTCGCACAGTGGCCATTTGTCTTTCTGCGTAATACCCCTGATGACCCTTTCCTGAATCAAAACCATTGGATTGCATTGAATGCAACATTCTCACTCACTGCAGATCCTCAATTAACCCCCCACCCCCCCTAAGAATGTGATCCCAAACCCCTCCCTTTTGAAGAAATATGTCGTAAAATAATCAAAGTACCTCCTCATGAGCACGAAATGTTTGGTGCAATTCATATCATACAATATCGCTGTATCAAGTACTGTTCTCGGTGCAGGAGGAGGGGGTACTATAATGGCCTAAACAGAGCCTGAAGCCTTTTTCAGGCTTCAGGTACATGAAAGGGAAGGGGTTTTTATAGTGAAGTATATGAAAGGGACCAAAATGAGATCAGTCACAGATGCATTTTATGGATGTGAGAGACAAGAAAACATGTTTTAGCTATTTATTCATATTGTAAAGATGGTGTATTTACAGCAGTTAAAAAGGGATGCAGTGTTCAAAATAAGGTATGTGAAAGGGGTACCATTTGTCACTAGAGGGTATACAAAAGGGGTACCTTTTCTGTCTAAAATGGTACATACAAAGGGTAAAGGGTTGGTCCCTGGGGCAGAGCCTCTTTGGTGAGTACCCCCCTCCCCCCTCCCCTCTGGGTTACTGTTACTCTAGTCTGATTCTTCTCTTTAATTTCTTTGATACTGTGCTTCATTAAATGAATTAAAATTCATTTCAAAGCTTCTTGCCCCTTTTTTGAAAACCCCTATATGTTAAAAGAAATTATGTCCCCTGGAGGGGAAATAAAATCAGGGAAAATGGGTAGCAAGATCTATTGTGTTATTTTACATGCATTGAGTTAGCATAATCTGGCCACTATACACATACAGTTGCGCATGTTTACTGAAAAACGTATCGGCACTCCAATCTTTTGCCTCCCATCACTTGTGTGAGACCTTAGACTCTTTATTTCCAAAACTACAGACAGCTTGCTTGAAGGCTTATCAACCACCTTCTAATAAGCTGCCAACCTCTGCAACATTGATGATGTGATACTTGATGGTAGGTGCACTGCAATATTACTAAATCAAGCTAATAAAGCAGCTTGACAATATTAACTGGTTTAAGTCACTGATACATTCATTTTTACACTGAGCTTGAAATATTTTTCTCCACAGTAAAAATAATGTTCATTAAAGAGAAGCAGAGCTCCCCTCTGCTAAAACATTAAACGAGTCCCCCTAGAAAAAAAAAAAGCATCCAGAGGGCTAAACAGAGGAAGTATACTTACCATGCATATTTTAACAGCTAGCCTTTAGAAAGTACCTTCCAACCAAAGACTTTAAAGTACTTCCCCCACGTATACTTGCAACACTTAATATTGCAGCTCAGTTGTGGTTCACTTTTATCCTAAGTTTGAATTTTATTCTCTTTGTTTTGAACTCATAATCATAAAATTCATATTACCGTACCCCCAAACAAAGGGAAGCAAAATCTAAACCTAGGTTATAATAAAATAAAACCACAACATAGCCATTTGCTTTGAAACAACTGACATCTTTAAGACCAAGGTATGATTGATGTTCCCGGCACATTGCCCGTTAATATGTTTAAAGTTGCCTTTTATTGATGTATTAAATAACCTGATCCATCTTATCTTTTCAAACAATACAATTGCACTTACTTCTCATCATAGGTTTGTAAATATAATATTATTAGACTTACAGTTTTATCTCATCGCCAACATGTTTTAATTTGGGCTTGAAAAAACGCTACAGCTAGGAAGGAGCTCCACTGCTACACTATTACTGTCGAGGAAATACACCTGGCTGCTTCGATCTACGTTTTCTTTCAGCATGTATTTAAGCCAAAATCCTACGAAAAGCGTCAAGCAAAAGTAGTTCATTGCTTTGTGAGTTAGACCCAGTATAGATTCGCTTGAGTTCCAAATACAGCTGTGCTTTGAGAGTTTTTGTCCCGACTGCCCGGGGGGGGGGCACTCCCATACATTACCTATACGGGTATGTGCCGCCCAACGGGGTCGTGATTTTGAAGCTCCTGATTTAGAACGGGGTATCCATTTCAGGGGCGTTTTCTAGAACGGGGTATAAAAAATTGTGGATCACGGCTTTATCTTCTGCTTAAAATTGTTGCTGATTATGAAGAAGCATTTATTTGATGTATAAGTCGAACAAGGAAAGAAATATCTCTTAAAAAACAGGGCTTTTTCAATTTACAAACTTTCTAGAACGGAGTATAAGCAACTGGCCCATTTCTAGAACGGGGTATCAGTTTTAGGGCGAATTCTAGAACGGGGTATAAAAAATTGGATCATTTCTATAACGGGGTATCAATTTTAGGGGAAATTTTTTTTAGAACGGGGTGCCAATTTAGAGTCCCGGGCGGCACATACCCACCCAAAAATTATCCAAGTGCCCCCCCCCGGGCCCGACTGTAGCTTCTTTCAACTGCTGTTAGAGCATATTTTGTTGTTTAGTAAAACGCAAAAGCGTGAAAAATGTCATGACATTATTACCTCCGTATTATTTCAAGCACCTCATGAGCATATAGTTCATTAGTAAAATAGCGACCTTAAGTGTTGTTTCGACGCTTCTCTATCATCTTCTCTATCATCGATCTTACCGGGTTCTTGATCCTTACCGGCCATTTTGGATTTTTATGGAGGTTTCCGCTGACAACTCGTTCCCAGACTTCCGTTCCCCGTTCCCCGCTCCCCGCTCCCCGTTCCCCGTTTTAGTAACATCCACTGTTACATGTACGCCAGTTTACTGCCAATAATCAGTGCAACAGACCTAGGCCTGACCTCTTAGAAAACACGACGGTCAAACTGAGGTCAGTGTATGTGCGGTGATTGGTGGATTTCGATCCTCGGCCTTTGTCAGTTTCTTTGCGTTTGCGGTCTGTCTATTCTAGCTGTTATTTTGATTAAAGGCAATGAAAAACGCAATCGTAAACGGCAGGAAAAGGGAAGCAAATACGATTGAACACAACAGACAAGAATAAAGAACAGGTAGATTTTGTTCATAAACCAAATCAACATTTGATTATTGAATCGAGGTACAATTTGACCGTTGGATTATTCATTTTATGAATGGATTATTGAATCAACAAACGAAATCATTTTTCCATTAATGAATACATTAGTTTGTTAGCGACGGGAACGCTTGACCTGGTTTGACTGTAAAAGACTGTCGGAAAAATTCCCGGGTTAAAGAATGAGCTGACTTTGAAGTTTGAGTATAATAGAATAATACTCGTTTGATACTTTACAGCCCTAACTTTTTTTTACTTAGGTATACCTCTTGGTCAGCTACGGGTAGGCGTTTTGAATAATGATTGTAATACCCGATCATGATAAATGTTTGCTGTAAATGTGTATGATATTCAAAGCTGCGTTTTCTGCGATGACAAAATTTTTTTTTCGTGCCTATTGAACCTTTAAGAATCAACGTGGCAGCCTTATGGTACACATGTTGGAAAAAAGAAAAATATATTTCATGTTTAGTGGTTGACTACGTTTCTAGAAATCGCCAGAGTTTCTATGAAGTTCAGTTCCAGTAATCGCCGTACAATTCTTGGAATCGTGAGCTATTTCCAGAAATAGACGCCTATTCTTAGAATGCCTACAGACTTCGCTTTTCAAACTCTGTTCAAAACTCGCACATTTCAACAAACAACAAAAAAAAAAACAAAAACAACACTTTATTCACATTTCCATTACAGGGTTTGTCAAACTTATTGAACAATTAGTAACTTAACACGTAGAGTATTCAATTACAATTTAAACTAAATATTATTCACGATTATTACATAGGAGGAAATGCCTAGCGGCTAGATAACCGTAAGGTTTTCGAGCTAGCAACTAGTTCTTTGAAAGTAGTGTCGAATGTACAGGACATCACAATAACTAAACATACAAAGCAATTGCAGATGCCTGCACTTAACAATGGTAGCCGAAAATTTAGCCAACGTTAAAAAACACGTGCGGCCGCCATTGCGCCATCAATAAAGGTCATGCCAAGGGACATGATCGTAAAATCGAGTCCACGCAATTGTGTTGAATAGTCAATCATTCGCGATTGTCTTGAGTATCATTCTTTGTGTTTACAAATGAACAAATCAGTCTCAGTGAAATATAGCCCGCGGGCAGCGCATGAAAATTAGTGTATGGGAGCAAGAAATCCGGTTCGGGGCGCGCGGGGCCGGGAAACTTGTTTGGCGTATAAAATTCTGTCTAGAAACTGGAGAGGAAGGTTCGGGACAGCGTGTTAAAATGTTATAGGGTATTTGTTTCATAAGTAGTGGCCCTTGTTTCGGATAGATTACTATTCACGGTATTTTTTTCCCAAACAGAGAGCCTGTTCACAGGCTATTCACCGACAGTGGCATTTAATGATGCTTGAATATTTTAAGTTTGGGTATCTTTTTTATCAATTTAGCTTGAGCAAAATGAAAACAAATAAACCCTACATTTATAGAAACGTCCAAATATCAGGCCTGCTTCAAATTCCAAAACAAGTGACGTCAGGTTAAAGTTGATTTCCACTTGTTATCAGTCAAACAAACCACTGGCGAACTGATAGATTAAACGATTTCCAAGTTTCAATAACGGACAGTTTCATCTATTTTTAATAATATTTTAAAACTGAACGCCTTCTTAAGGAAAAAAAAAACAAAAAACAAAAAATACCCAAATTTATTTTACAAACCTAGCTCGAAAAAAAACCCCATTGGCTTTTGTCTTTGCACAGGTGCAATTGAAAAAAGGCGACAATGATGAATGCTTGCACCAAAAGGAACGCAAAAGAGTTCTTTTGTTTCCTTTAGAATGTGCTGTAAAAGCAAGTTTAAGCCACTCGCGTAATAATGATTCCAAAACAAGTGACGTCAGGTTAAAGTTGATTTCCACTTGTTATCAGTCAAAAAAACCACTGGCGAACTGATAGATTAAACGATTTCCAAGTTTCAATAACGGACAGGTTCATCTATTTTTAATAATATTTTAAAACTGAACGCCTTCTTAAGAGAAAAAAAAACAAAACAAAAAATACCCAAATTTATTTTACAAACCTAGCTCGAAAAAAAAAAGCCCATTGGCTTTTGTCTTAGCACAGGTGCAATTGAAAAAAGGCGACAATGATGGATGCTTGCACCAAAAGGAACGCAAAAGAGTTCTTTTGTTTCCTTCAGAATGTGCTGTAAAAGCAAGTTTAAGCCACTCGCGTAATAATGATTACCTTTTAATTTATGGGTTGCCTAAGTATGCCGTAACCGCGTATCCGGTTTGTTTCTAAATATACCTGCCTTCAGTGCGTTTTAAAAACGTGCACATTTTTAAAACGAATTCCACCAATGAGAGCCAAGGGAAAATTTCCCTTCTCTGACTTTATGCTCATAATAAATCAGCTGGAGATAGCAATCTCAATTCCAGTTGCGTTGAATTCGACGAAGACAGTGTCTGGTTTCGTAGACTTTACACAATGTCTTCCCCTCGCAGAAGCTTCAAAGCAACGTTGATAAATCACATATTTTACTTGTTGTGGATCCCCATTGGTAAGTGTATGTATTTTGTTATTTTTGAGGGTTTTAAAGGTTCAATGTCACCAAACAATCTATAACAGACTCATAACATCCCACATCGGAAAAACAGTTCAGTAATACTGTATTTTAATAATTAACCGTCACAGTTCATCAGATAGTTTTAGTGTCTAATTTTATTTCATAATTTTTATTAATTCGCAATGCTACAGTCTAGAATTCGCCCTTTTCTCGGCAATAACGGCTGGTTAGCTTTCGTTCATGCTATTTTAAAGTTCGTGCATCTAAGTTTTGACAATCTAAAACGTAAACAGACTTTTCGACAAAGCTGACACTCGTGGGCTTACTGCAATGTTATTGATCAGAAAACAGCTTATTAATTTGATTCATTCACTTGAGATACTTAACAAAGCACACTGGTACTGTGCCAGTGCTATTACAAGCGACACTGTGTTTAAAAACGACACAGTTAAACAACGATATTTTAATACTCCCCTGGTGGTGTGTTTACAATAAAGAATAATAGGGACAATGTACGTTATTTTTGATGACGTAGCAGTGTACCCCCAAAATATGAGGTAAATTTTAACCCCCCACTCAGCCAAAATTTTCTACACAGTTTCTGTGCTCATAATGGACTAGAGCGAATTTCGCAAGGTACCCAGACTAAGCCCGTGATGTTAGTGGTGTGCTAACTTTGCATTTATTTCATATTTCTTAGTGTTTTTGTTAGGTTTAGCCGAACATTCTTCACTTGCTCCTTGATGACAACCGGACTATTGTCCGAAGAGCGGCATTCATTTGATATTTCCTCAGTCTTTTTAGCGGAGCTCCACGCGCGCGCGAAGCGCGCGCGCGTGGGCGGAGCCCCATTGCTAAGTAAATCTACCCATCCCAGAAAATTTGGTAATCACGTGACCGTACACCGACCGCCCGCCGTCCGTCCGCACCACAGGAAAGCCAATGTTTACTCTCACACTTTTAGCTAGTTTGGGAGCCCAAGAAAAAACTAGTTGCACAGGCTGCACATCAATGTTGTGATCAATTGACAGCTATCAAAACAGGGCATCCGCTGACAAGTATCACCTGACCGTACCGCGGGCTCAAGTGTCGACCCATCGAGGTCGAGTATTTTTTAAAGTTATCCGCTGACAAATTACCAGTTTCAAATGATCGCAGGCTCAAGTTTATTTTTTCCAAGGATTCATATCAAATATGTTGTGTTTATGTCACTATGGCCCCGCACTATTAGGATTTTGATTTCAAACTGACCTCGGAAGCGAAAATTCATCCAGTTTTTTTAAAAGTACAGGCGGGGAAGACCTTATCTTACCATGGTCACGCGTTGGTCACGCTCTACGTCCAATTTTTATACTCTGATTGGTCAAAGTTTGACAGGTGAGTTTATGCGGAAAAATTATGCAGCATCTTGAAAGTAGTTTACTTTGACAGCTGAAGCTGACAGAGTTTTGTGTCAACTTGTGATGTTTTTAACTGTCTTTTTCCTCTGGAGGTACAAAATGAAATACAGCTGCTATCAAGAGTCTTCTGTTATTCATGGCTGGTTTTTTTACTGGGTTTTGGTTGAGAAATGCGTCGCTTGTCAAAATTCGGTAATTCGATTTCGGATGGCATCGTTTTCGTTTTTCACCTTGCTTAATGCGTAAGAGGATTTAAAAGTCTCAAGCAACTGTGGCCTCCCTTGATAGCTTTCAGGAACTGAATCTCGAATGGTAAGCCTAAGTAATTAATGTATTTGATGTTTGTGTTTCATGAAGTCTTGCACAGTTCACGCTGACAGTTTATGCGGCAAGTTTATGCACGTTTGCAGGATTTGAGTCAATGATCTGACCTAGTATCAGGTTTGATATAAGCTTACAGAACTTTAAAAAGCCTTCAGATATATTTGCTCACCACAAATAGAAAGAAAACGTTCCGAAGGATATTTAGTTATAAATTTGGCTGTAGAAAGAAAACTTTGAGCGATTTTCTTGCTTCGAGGAGTTCACCTTCGAAAACAGTAAACACCGCGCTGGGAAGGCGGCTAAAATATAAACTTAAGCTTTACGCTTAAAGACTCAGGATTTTTAGAGACACTTTAATACTTGTCTTCGTGAATGAAAATTGTTGTCTCTGTAAATGTTTCACGGAATTATATCTCTTTTTTTAATTGTTAGTAGTTTCTCTTGCAATTTTAATCGATTGTCCGGGCCGATTGTTTTCATCGTTCATGACCATCGCTTGCAGGAGTACTCAAAAATGTCGCGCGTATCAAACGCCTTATAAGATTACACATCGTTGTAACTAAAACCATTAAATAACAAAACAAATAATAATAAATTCGCTATTATGTTGAAGCGTAACTCTGTTAAAGTTCATTCAAACACTTGACCACACTGACAGCTCGCACTATAGAAACAAGAACCAGCTGGCCGTATGAGTGATTTTGGAAATTTTCTGAAATTTTTGAACGGTTTGGCTCGTGGTGAATATTGACTGAGTGAAAATTGTGAAATACCGCATTCTGTCCGAGCTCTGTATGATAAATAGTACTGTTTCACCTCAAATGTGGTGTATAAAAATTATAAAAGGTTGGTTTAAACACCCCCAGATTTGTTGGCAAGAATTTGTAAAGTAAACCTGTCGAACGCAAAAAAATTTGGCGTGATTTGTTTTCCAAGAATTTGCTTTCCAGGCCTAATCTACTGTGATCTTGAATGTGATCGAAGATGTTTGCTATATTTTGGGTGTACATATAAGGTTATCAATTCGATGTAAGACGTTTCACTCTAAAATAACTTAGCCTTTCCCTCAAAAGTCACATGGATGTGCCCTTAAGTTAAATGATTTGTGGATTAAAAGTTTATTGTTTGATTTAAATTATAAATTTATTAAAATTGGAGCTTCGCTTTTAGCCCTGGCTAAATCTATATATTATTAATATGTTTTTAAAGGTTTTTCACTTGTTTAGTGATGACAACCGTTGAACTCGTTGAAGAAAAACTTCATATTTTTCTTGGCGGTCTTGTGATTTATTGCTTACTTATGCACATTTTTCAAGCACCTTTCTTATGACGTCACTCGGTCGAAAATTCTGAGATGAAACCTAGTTCGCGACTTCATCTGACTCGTCATAGAGAGTAAACGTTTTGGACGTGACTTTTTTTGAAGGAAGTAAGAAGTTTTCAAGAGTTTTCATTTTTAACGTTGCTGCGCCTCAAGACCCCCAAACTCGAAAACCACGGGGCGGTAAATTTAAATGAAAAGATGTAAAGAAAAGATGTAGGCTACTTCTAGCAAAGGCAGTATTAAGAAAGCATGGAAACCTAGATAGCGGCTGCTAGAATTATAGCCGGTGTGTTCGAGTCTGTCCCACATCTACAGAGGGTCATTTCCCCCCTCTACTCAATTTATTAGACAACCTACTAGGTTACAGCATCAGTTAAACATCTGAAAAGCAATTTCTAGTATCAATAACGTAACAACTTGATGATGAAGAGAAAACTCACGACCTTGACGGAGTTTGTGTGCCGCACATCCAGCAATTCAGTAGCTGCTGAGCTGTTACAGTCCCTGGTTCGCTGTCTCTAATATTTATGAATTAGACGATACCCCTGAGTACAAATTCGACTTTAAAAATTCAGCTTAGCTGCAATTGTGGTTTCAAATTAACGACACGATCAAAGGCGTTACTCTTACAAACCTGGGATCAAATTCACAAATAAAGCCAAGGAGCAAGTGAAGAATGTTCGGCTAAACCTAACAAAAACACTAAGAAATATGAAATAAATGCAAAGTTAGCACACCACTAACATCACGGGCTTAGATCTATTGTCGCAAATCCTTGTCAACCGGACCCAAGAAAGTTTTGCTGACTTGGCTAAGCCATAACAAAATCAATCAAATTTTGTCATCGTGCATCGAGCCTGGATTCCATTGATGGTGCATAGATCGTGCCTTTACCGAGCCTTGACGGTGCCTTTATCGTACATCAGATCGTGACTTTATCGTGCGTATTTTGAGCCTATCATCGTGCCTTCATGGAGCCTTTTTCGTGCGCAAAAAGCTAGCGCGGAAAAATGTTGAGGCAAATTGAGCATATCTCCTCTCTTGCAAGTCAAAAATGCGCTGGTATACAAATGAAAAGTAGAAGTCGAAAAAATACTCAGAGTCAATTTAGCTTTGGCCTAGTTTTAGTGACTACACTATTCAAAGATTTTCATTCAGCCGGGGTTTACTAACTTTCTTAATTTTTTTATTTTTATTTTTAGTGACCAGAGTTGACACCTCATTGGAAATATGCTCGGAGGAGGAAATCGAATTCTATTGTCCACCACGTGACCAGGCTGTTAAGAGTAATCAGTACCAGAGTCTTCTATGGTCTGTGTTCGACCCAATGAACCCATCAGCTAAAAGGGAGAATATATTTTATTGTGGTCAAAACCCTGTGAACTGTCACACTTATAAATTGAGCAGTTATGATGGACGAATCTCTGTCAGAAGTCCTGTTCCAGGGAAACTGTTTCTGAAACACTTGACCAAGAATGATTTGCTGACTTACACCTGCCAAATACAACTTAAAGATATCAACCTAGACCGACTTGTTTATAGAGTGAACATTTCCTCTTCAGTTTATTGTAAGTTTTTAGTGATTTCTTTTTCTTTTTCACTGTGTGTCCCCCCTCCAATACGTATGGCAAACAAAATTAAATATATATTTTTCTCTGATGGGGAAATCAATCCATTCAACCAATTAAATCATAACCCGACAGGGAATTTTTAATTCGATGCGCAGTATTAATATAATTCTCTCGTCATTCTCACTGTTGTTTCCGGCTGCTTAATTCAGTTTGCACTTGTTTTTTTTTTCTAGGTCTGACAGCGCGTATTGGTAAAAACCTTAGTTTGACCCCGCAAAAATTTGCAGAAGAACAATTGTCGAAAACATTATTCGATGAAGATATCTGGTGGTCCATGATTGAAGACAATGGAAAGAAGTGTACATTCCTCTACTGTAATGCCACATCATACTGTACTTTTTCAAACGATCCTTGCTATCAATCCCGACCGGAGTTCTCCAAAAGACTTGAGCTCAAGGGATTGTCATTAATTTTGACCGAGGTCGGGCAGGGAGATCGTGGGTTAGTATTTCAACGGCGAATTCACCCTAACAGGTTGATGAAAAGAGGAGACAAGCCGTGGCATGAATTATATACGGTGAAGATTCAAAATGTTCTACCTTCAGGTTAGTGGTATTTATCTGTTTACGATGCACCTCTGGATAAACCATTACCCAGAGGTAATTCTCCAGCAGGGAGGTTTGAGGATAGTGCGGGCTAGTGGGGACGGTAGGGGTAACGGAAGGTTAGATGAATTACTTATGGAGCGACCGCTGGCCAATTTACCGTCAGTAACTTATCAAGTTCCCATGATTACCCGCGAGCCTGACCCGAGACCACGAGGTCAGCAAGAATAAAATGTTGTTTTTGTGTTACGAGAGCCTCCACGAAGAATTGCGTTTATTGGAATAATCAAAACGGTCCTTCGAGCCGGATTTAAACTGTCTAGCCGTCTTTAGGATGGTTGAAGATAAAAAGGTGCACTTCTTGATAGAGCCGCTCCAGTTTATATGTAGGTATTTGCCGCGGAGTAGCCTAGGATAGGGTGCTGATTTAAGGATTTTTAACTTTTACTGAATGAGGCTTGGTATGATTTGTAGACAATATGCAAATTGCGAAGAAAGAACGGCCTCAGTGAATAACATCCTCCGAGATCAGCATAACTCTCCACATCATACAGAGCCGAATTTAATAATTATGTTATTCTTCATTCATAATATTTCTAAGTTTTTAACAAGCCTACCTCATCGTAGACTTTCTTCAAAACTTTGGGCTATTTCTCGGCACGGTTTCAGGATTAAACAGATTTTCTTCAGTGGAAGATACTCTTCTATCGAGCAATATGTTTTGCTTATTCTCCCATAATGATTTCGTCCGTTTCGTTTTAGCCAGAGATTCGGTCAGCCATTTCGTTTTCGGATAGCCTTAAACGCTATTTTTTCTAGTTCCCTCTTGAAGAACCAACTAGGCGGTCGCGCCTGGAATCTATGTTGATGGATGGTATGTATGGTTTGTTGCCCAAGGAGCCTCATTTCGAGTCAAATATACAATCGAATAGATGGTATATTGCTTGGCTCACATCTTCCAAATTTGGTCAACTGCACTTGGTTATGAAGATTATTAGCCGGGGGCTTTGAACCAATCAGAACGGTGAAATATTTTGAATGAATTTTAAAAAGAAACTATCTTGTATAATAGTCACATATCTAAAAATAACAATAAGGATACTAAGTGTATTCTAGAAGCGAAATTAATAGAAAAATAGAGACTTGGAAACGAGAATAAGATTTTCTACCTCTGATCTAAAAGATAGTTTCAAAAATAAAGCTGAAAAGGTACGCTAGACTTATGAATATTGGGGCGAAGTGACCGTTTGGTGCACCTAGGTCTAAATGAGATTTTTACACTTGCCTTTACAGATTCAGATCCCAGCAGCACTAACCCGCAAAGTACTCCTACAGATGATAGCAGTACGACATATACACCGACACCCTCAACTGGTTGTTGCCAAGTCTCCTGCTCTACTTTCACTGTATTGGCTTGGTTTTTGATAGCAGCTTACTTTCTCACGCTGTATTAAGTTCAACAACTGTTCGAAGCAGCTACTCATGCGTGTGGGATTGCAGAAATGCCGTAATGAACAGCCGCATAATGGAAAATAGTATTTTTGGAAAAAGTCTTCCGATGAAGCTGTAGGCGCGGGATAAAGTGATGCCTGGGTTCGAGGTCATGGAAACTAGCCTGTTCCAGGCTCGGAGATAGTCGGGTCCGCGAAATTGAAAAAGCACGAGCATGACAACAAAACGGGAAGAAACTGGGGAGAGGAAGAGCATACATTTTCGCGTGCAGTCACAATGATATGCATATGGGCATCCCCATTCCCAAAACCCTAGTGACATGAGCATCCCCGGTCACCCTAACCCTAACTCTAAGCCTGCTAAGGTAATGTGAGAAGGAGATGCCCATATCACTAGGCTTTTGGGAATGGAGACGCCCAAAACGCGGGGATGCCCATATCACTGTAACAGTGTCTTTCACTTACGCTTCATCGCCACTATCTCAGAGCCTGCGACAGGCTAGGAAAAACGCGCATGGTGATTTCAACGGCAGGAAACTGAAGAAAAATAATATACTGCTACTCAGCATTGGAAACTCTGATAGAGTATTTAAAACGATATTTTTATTGCGTGTATAAATAAATCAATTATTAGATGAGGCTAGCATGATCTGAAAAGTTATGCAGATCGAGGAGGTTGTTACCTGCCACGGCCTACAATCGACACCATTCGAGATCTGCAAAATTCTGATCTTATCATGCGATTCCTCGATCGATGTTAAGTTCACGTCTTCATTTAATTGTCTGTTCCTCGACAAATTCAGGATATAAATGGATGTTTTATCTGGCATATATTCTTCAAATAGCAGCTGTCATTCCTCTTGATCGTGTCGTATTTTTGCTGTTCTTGCTATATACATTTTAAGGCAGAAGCTTGCCATTTCTCCTTCACAACACGTGTGAATTCTCCCGCCAAATGCGCTAACGCAGCCTAGGGCTTTCCAAACGACTTCTAAATTTGGTTAACGCTAGCTGGTTATGAAGATTTAGCCGAAGAACTTAAGCCAATCAGAAACGAAGAAATATTTGCAATGAATATTTTTTAAAACATATTGTTAGGGGGAAAATGTAGATTTCATTGGGTTTTCAATTTATTTCATGGCACGTGGACTACAAAATTATAAAACAGGACTTCAACTGTTTTGAATAAGTTTTTATTTAAGTCTGTGCAAACAGGAATCTTTATTCTCTGTGCAAACATTGTAACTGAGATTGTTTACTCATGTATATTATTATTGGAACAGTGTGCCTTAGGAAATTTCTGTACGCATATTATATGTACTCTCGAAATTGAATTTTCTAGAAATAGATATACAGCTTAGTCACTGAATAACTAGGCCTTTCGCCTGTTCAAATACCAACCGTTCGTAGTCTTTAGTTTTGACATTTTGAGGGATCCTGAGTAAAGGAAACTCGAATTCTTTTACACAGCTTTCTTTGTAAATTTCCTAAATTCACTTGCGTGACTGACATTTAATTTTGAGTTATTTAGTTTAACATACGAACTTTAAAACTGAATTTATCCGGATTTGTTTTTGCTGTTCAGATGATTTTATTCAGCCTTCGTTCCATTTGTTTTGTGATGTTGTAATAAGTTGATCGCTTAGTATAAATAGAGCACTGTTATGCCTGTTTTTCGATTTACATTGCGGAGTTATATGCTTGTACGATTTACATCGCGGATTTACTTGACTGTATGATTTACGTTCACGAGCTGAAGATTAAACTGCTGAAGTCCAAGTTTGAGTCCTGTCCTGTTTCCAGTTGTAGCAGATCCTATCTGGTACCGTGGAATAGTGACGAGTTCCTTTCCCGCTAGCCAAGCGAGTTGCAGAGTTAGTTTTCCCTTGTTGTTCACACGCCGGGGTCGCTCGAATTCTCTTAACGCTTATTTCCCCGATTTGTGCTTGGAAGGGCAAAACCTATCGTCACAACATATTTCATACAACTATCCTCCGAGAGGGAGTTGGACAGTGGAAGATATGAATCTAGGGAGCAAAGCGTCGAGGTACATAAGCTATGCATGCACCGGCCCTCTCAGGGATGGATAGTTGTTTAAGGAACCGGTCATTATTATCGCCTGGGGGCGGGGAGCGGAGGATTTAGGGCTAAATAAGGTGAAATTTAGCCGATCCCCCTTTGAATGTTACTTCACTCAAGTGATCAGGCCTAATCAGACGTTTGATGACTTTCGCGATCTCCCCCCCCCCCATGTTTTTCTCCCCCCCATATTTTTCAAGCAAATTTGAGTGATCCCTCCTCTGAATCCTTCCAAAGTTTTCAGTGATCCCCCCTTTTGGGTTCTCAGTTACGACTGATCCCCCCTTTCTTCTCCTAAAAATAAAGTGATCACCCCAAAATCCTCCGCGCTCCCTAGGCAATAAATAATGACCGGTGCCAAATAACTAGCAAATACATGAGATGGGTCATTTTTTTGTAAAATAAATAAAACGTCAGTTAGTAAGAGCTTTCTTCAAATTTTAATTCAGAGGGTCCAAAATATTTTTTGTTGCGATTTTGTTACAAATTCAGTAAGAATAATGTTCTATTTATCATGATCAGTTAATATCAACAAGGCAAGGTGAATTTCATTGATCGCTTTCTTGTTCCGGCTTGTTATTTTTGGTTACATCTATTGTCGATCTCCTTCCTCAGTTATAAATAAGGTCTGGAAAGGCGGGTGGGGCGGGGGGGAGATAGATCCTAACCTGCATTTACCCCTTCTTTTCAACGAGAATCCCGCATCTCGAACGTCTTTCATCGCTATCCCTAATATCGCTTTTTTTCCCAATCCCACAAAAAATAGAGACAATGTATGGAAATTCAAGCGTAATTAAACTTTTAAGTTGAGCGAGGTCAAACTTTTAGGTCTACGCACTACTTATGCGCGACAGTGGAAATCCACTCTAAAGCTAAGGACGAAACATCTTCAGGACAAATTGACCCACTCCTCACCCGTGAGGTAATTTCAACCGAACAAATTTACCTACACCTCACCTGTTAGGTTATTTGTAACGAACATTTTCTCCACACCCTACCCCCTCAAAGTAGTGTTTGTAACACTACGGTGGCTTCCGAAGGTTTTGAACTTCACGGTCGATGATGTTGCTACGCTTCGGTACTCGCAACTTTTGTTTTGCGAACAATAGAGGCACTTTACGCAAAACAATGAAAACGGCCATGAAAGGATCGAGCAAAAATGTTTGTCATTCTCAACTCAAAAATGCAACCTGAAGTTTGATACGTCCGTGCCCAAATTTTGGCAAATCCCTCTTTCCGGGTAGCAGTCCTGTATCCCGTTAACGTTTCCCGAATCCCGCATCGTATTTTGGTCAAATTCCGCATAAAGGGAATACCGTTCAAGACCGGTATGAAAACTACCAGAGAAGCTACCGGCTTGACCGGGTGGTCTCCCTTCGTGATGGTCTTCATTTTCTGCACCGTGATTCCCAGTGACTGAATATATTCCACCGGTTGTTGTTGTTATTGTTGGTATTAGAAATCTTTAGATTCTGAGACGAGGACGACTACCACTACGAGATTTTTTCATACTAAGTAGTGCGCTTGCGTGAGCCAACGTCATTTTGGCGGGAAAACGTGATAGCCGTCGCTATTCTACTACGAGTTTTAGCTAGAATGTCTTCAGTGGCGAAAACACTGTTATCAAATTTTAGAAGTCTAATCATTTTGCGACCGGGAAAGGGCTAAACCTCCTCCAATAAAAAAACAACCTCACTAATATTTCGAACAAGAAGTGATTTTGAAAAGCATTTAACTATAAAAAATTGCGATAAAACATTTCTTAAAATCATTTTAAGATTAAAAAAATTGCTAAAAAGCGACGACGTTTCGACGTTAGCTGAACGTCATTATCAAGTCAAAATAAGTTAGTGATTTTTGGTCTACAAATACTAAAAAAAAAACAACAATAGCTGATTAAAAAATTGTAACGTGAGAAAATATTAAACAAAGAGTTTCGCACGTATGGAGTCCGTCTGAATATTTAAATTGGGCTTAAGCTTCTTGATGAAGAGCATTTCAAATACTAAACAATCAAATTTGCTCTGGCACTTTCTTAAAACCGTGAATTGGCTTTCTCTCAATATTTCAGGTGAAAAATAAAACAGTAAAGCTTTCCGGGTTGAATATTTTTCGAGAGTAAGTTAAATTTCGTACTCTTAGTCGTCCTCGTCCTAAATCTAAAGCTCTCTATTCTCTCACGTTGTGTTGGGATCATATGATGGTTTATTAGAGTTTAAAAAGGCCTTGAAATGGATGTTCCGTATAGATAAGTCGCGTATTACCTTACCGGGAAACAAATATTGGGTGGGATCCTGAAGCTGATCCAGACAGGCAGACTGCGTTCTTGTTTGACATCATATAAAATTTTCTTCTGTCTTAACACGCGTTTCAACATTGTGGCGACATTGCTTCGAATTGTTACAACATTGTTCCTCCAGCATTTCAATGCTGTGTTGCACTAAAAATCGTCGTTGCGAATCGTCCCGTCTAACATCACCTTTAAAATAGGGAGATCGAGGGCAGTTGTCACCGTAATGATTGTAACATACATGTCACATGTCATGTCTCAAGTCCCTTTCTTATGTTTAACCGCCCGTTCATTAAACACATCTTTAGATTAACACTTGAAGGCTTTGATCGCTTGCTATCGTTTAGCAAGGTCAAAAGCACTCGGTCCTATGGCTTCTGGTGTTAAGTTAATAGCTAAAATAAATGCAAATAGTACGAAAATTGTGACGGTTGAGTTAATTTGTGTGCCGGATAGTACGCAGCCCTTGAGACAATCATGATCTAAGCAGTAAGTTTTTCGTTCTTAAATGAATTGATTCTCATTCCAGAGGACATATGGAAACTTAAAACTTGTATTTCAATCTTGATAAACTTGTGAAACTATGTGGGGTTTACCCTGG